CCATTCAGTAGTGATGCACATCCACAATATATGGACAGACGTCCATGATTTTTGTTTTCAATTTTTTTTTTTAAATTAAACTATGGATGGACGTCTATTGTTATTTTCTCATGGACGAGAGTTCATTTAAAATGAACGACCGTCTAATAATCATGGATGCTTGTTCATATTGCCAGATTATTGTCAATACTCAATAACTCTTAATTTTACCCGGCACATAAACGAATGCTACATTTGATAAATGTTAATTTACAAACATTTATAATTTTTTTCCTTTCTCATCTTCAAGAAAACCTAAAAGGTCTATATACTAAGAGTGTGTTTGGTTAAGGGAATATTGTTTTTACTAGGAATGTTAATTAATGAGAAGATAGATAAACACCCCTGGGTGACCTAATAGTAAAAGAGCAAAAGGGGGTTTCATGAGTTCGAGTCCCCACAAGCGCTAATAGGCCATAAGGACACCCTCGGTGACCATTAAAAAAAAAAAGATAAATTACCTTGAAGATTACTAGGAATGTTAGATTGAAATAAATTGGTGGGTATGTTATATTGATATGTTTGGTTGATGGATATAAATTGATGGGTATGTTATATAGATTACCGAATTGCCCTTCTTTTTTAATATTAATATTATTGGGTGCGTTTGGTTTATTATTTTGGATAGAATTTTGGGAATAATATTGGGTAGTTGGATAGGGGAATATTACGAGATAAAATTTAAACATTTATGAAAAAGCCCTTAGGTTTGCTAATTTAATTAAACACCCTAATGTATAAAATGACAAAAACACCCCCACCACCTGCAGTGCCAGATTCCGGCCACCACCACCGGGATCTGGCCAAAAAAAGCCAGATCCACGGCCTGCTGTGGCTGCGACGGTCGAAAAAGGCCAAAACGACGGCCATATTTGGCCGTCAGCGACGGCCAAAGATATGACCGTCGTTTTCAGTCAACGACGACCATTTCTTTGGCCATCGTTACGGCTAGATCTGGCCTTTTTTGGCCAGATCTGTGGTGGATCTGGCCGGAAAAGGCCAGATCGGTGAACTTCCAGCCATTTCTGGTCGGCAGGTAGGCAGTTGTACAGATTCCAGCTACCAACGACGGTGGTTGCCGGAATCTGGCAAGTATGGGTCACGGGGGTGTTTTTGCTAATTTTTAAACTTTTTTTCAGGGGGTATTTAATGAAATTAATAACCTTATGGGGTCTAAAAGTAATTAAAAAAATAGGGTAATATTTCTAGAATAATGTGTCAAACATTATTTGGAGAATAGGATTGGAAATATGGACAGAATAATAAGCCAAACATACCCATTATTATTATTTGAACTGTTTTTCAACCCCTACATTTGAGATTTTGTTAAAACACCCTAACCACAATAAAAGTTCAAATTTTAACAAATCACCCCCAACAACCCAAGCCAATGTCAGCCGTTGGCCACCACCGCCGGTAGTCATCGAACGATGCATGACCTATCGGATCTGGGCCAGTCATGTGTCGATTTAGCCATCTTTGGCTAGATCCATGACCATTAACAACTAGATCTGTGGTTATTAATGGCCATGGATGTGGCTGTTTTCAACCATATCTATGGCCAAATCAACGCACGACCAGCCAAATCCGACTGGTCATGCGTTGTTTTAGCTACTACTGATGGTGGTGGCTAGATTTGGATGTAGTCTTGATTAATTTGGTTGAAGTACAAGGGCAATAATATCTTAAAAAATCTTGTATATAATGTTAAAATTGTCCATGAAAATTCTTGTAAATTGTTTAGATAACAAGAGTATTATTGCTCTAAAAAATTATTAATAAAGATAAAAATTATAACAAAAATAAGATTATCAAATAATCTCATAATACCTAAGAAAAATTACCACTTATATAACCAACGGTGATTACTATTATTGGTATTGGAAGATTACCAGAATTTTATATTATTTGACAATCAAAATGGTAATATTATAAGTAATATAAGATGACATTACTGAAGTATTGTCAAATACCCCCAACTAAACGCATCCGAATTGATTTTTTATTATATATAGTCATGATAGTGGGATCAAACTAATTTATTACTATAAGAAGATTATAAGTTAATAGAAGTGTAGTTACAAAAATCACTGTTTTGAATTCTTATTTTATAATTCGCGTTTTAGTAGGATGTATTAGGATTTCAATTCATTATTTTAGTAGTCATTGCTACAATTAGACAAGAAGAGAAAAGAAATAATCCCAAGGATGATAGTATGGAAATACCAAAAGTTTTGTGCCAAAAAGTTCTAAACATGTTTGAGAAATTAGAAATATTTTGGCTTCAACAAAAATGTGTCCATACTAGTGAATTATTATGTAATCGCAAGTTAGAAGATGTGATAACAACTTTAAAGCATAAATCATTGTTCTGAATAAGTTTAAATAAATATTTTATTTTATTTTAAACCTTTAACGTAACATAACTTTTTTTTTTAATAAACAAATAATTATTACTATGTGGAAACAACTTTCTTAAGAGAAGAATTAGAAAAATTATAACTTATTATAATTATAAAGTTTGGTCTTATTTATAATTATCAAGATTATAATTTTTTTATGATTATATAAAGGTTATTCACGTATATACTATACTATATAAAAAAATAATTACAAAATAATTTTGATTATTTAAATGATTAAATCGATTATGGCAGGAATAACCCACATGGCATTAATTTATTTTTATGCCTTTCCGTTTAAACCCACGCGGCTACCCCCTAAATCCAACCCATGCGCAAAGATCACAAAATAAAATAAAATAAGCATTTATAGATTTTGGCGGTTAGGTTTAGGGACTAGGGTTTATTTTAACAATTTATTTTAGATAAACAAATAATTTTTTTTAAAAGTGAAAGAGAGAATAGAAAGAACATCTTTGGCTACAGTGTCGGCCACTTCACTTCTCCGTTTCTTCCAAAATTCCTAGAAGGCATTCTCTCTCTCTCATTTTCTCCTTCTTTCTTCATTTTTATTATTTTATATTTATTTAATTGTTTCTGTTTTCTTTTTGTTCTTTTTTTTTTTTTTTTGGGTATATGTTGTTGTTAGGGTTTTAGAATGTGTTAAATGTTGAAGGTGGCACCCATTTCCTCTGAAGGTAAAACCCTAAACCCTAATTTTTCTTTTTTTATTCTCTCTGTACCATGTGCTTGTCTGAACGCTGTCGTTACGCTGATCGGATCATGACTGTTGGTTTTTTTCTTTTTTGTTTTCCCTTTTGTTGGTTTTGGGGTGTCATTCTCTTTCTGTTTGATTGCTGGGAAAACCAAAGAAAATTGGGGAGCTTATGGGGGAATAGGAGTGGGGTCAATGTGGGGTTTATTTGCTTGTTTATATGGCTTTATTTGTGATGATTGAATTGCGATCAAGTTATTTTTACTGGTGATGATGGAGTGAATAGGAAGATTGTGGCACAACTAATGGATAACAAGAGGAACAATTTTTTGTGGTATATTTGTGAGGTGGAATGGAATACCCACTTAGGAAAGAGGTCGATTTCTTGGATATTTTTTTGAAATATTTTGTGTTGTAATTGCGGTGATAATTTTTCAGAGAGTAGATTGTAGATAGCCTGTCAATAGTGTTTTAAGTTCTTGGACTAAAGATTTCATGTACAGCTATATATTGGAGATGATGTGAATTCACATCTAAATGAGCTAGTATCAAATTCTGGGAGCTAAAGTAAAAGTACTCAAGTCTAGGTTCTATTAGGGGGATTTTGCTCATGAAACAGAGTCTTGAATCCCTGTAATATATGAGCTCTTGTAGACATGTATCTTATGGTTCGCCCTTTTGACTTGTTCTTTAGGGTTTCTGACTATTTTTATTTCTGCCACACTCTTCCTTCATATGCATACCTGCCCTTGATCTTGCATGTATGATGATCTATTGATAGGAAGCACTTGCGTATGTAACATTCCATATTAATTGATAGGAAGCCCATTGCTTCTAAAATGATTTGATTATTTAAGAGACATAGTAACTCTGTAGATAAACTAGAGCCTAGAGATGTAAAGTATTACCTTAGCTTATTACTGGCCTTGGACCAAGCTTGGGACAACATGGTTTCAAGCCCATGGCCTAAATGGTCCACTACTGGTGGTGAGGTGTGGTATGTAAGAGCCTAATTCTTTTGTTTTTTATTTTTTTATTCCAGCTGTTAGAAGGTCTATGTGTATTTTGAACTTAACCAGAAAGAAAATGTAAGAAAAGAATTAAAGCAGCCCAAAAAGGCATTTAGAGTTGATTTTGGGCGACTAAAATTTCCTAGGTAGTCATTAGGGCTACATAGAACACTAACTGTTGCCATGTGGCAGTGACTAGTTGCAAGACTCAAAAGGACACCTTTATATATATATATATATTGATGGATACCAATCGCGCAAGCCAGCCAACCACAATAGAAATAGCAAGCAAACAATCGAATTAAACCTGGAAAGCAATAATAATCAGTAGCCAAAATCCAGAAATAGTAGCACTTATATTGATATTCCAGCAACACAAAATACATAACAACAAGAAACTTAACAAAACTAGCCAAAACAGGAAATCAAAATAAACCATAAACCAAAACAAGAAATAAAAAATAATGTTGGTCTTCGAGGGCCAACTCCTCCCGCATAGTGCTGGACTTCGAGGGCCAGCAACCTCTCACTCTCCACTTTTCTCTTTTTTTTGAATATTTCATATCCCACTGTCTCCCCTTTTATTCTATTCCTCATAACAAAATTCTTCAATCACCCACTCCCTTAATGTCATCTGTCCCTCCCTAAACCGTCCTTAACACCTCACGCACAAAGAACCTTCTGGGCTATTGCACCAAAATCCCCTACTTCACACCCTTAAGTCTCTTACAATAGACCAGCATTAGGAGTGGGTCTCATCCCATCCCCTCCCCCCCCTGGAGCAGTACCACCTTGTCCTCAAGGTGAGAAGATGCCTAGATGACAATTGTTTACCCAACACCACCCTGCTCCTCCACTCTTTTATCGCCTTGCTCGTCCTCAATTTCTTCATCAACCAATATCACTTGGAATTGTTTTTTCCCACATCTATGCCCTTGAACAAATCTAGCATCACATCTGAAACACAAGCCTCGTTCTCTCTTCCGTTGAATTTCGTTCTCAGTCATCCGGTTGAAAGGTAAATCTTGCCGATAAGAAGGGTTAAAATCTGCTGATTTTTGCACTGTTGTGCTACTACTCCGGTGACCGGCGGTGGGCGTTGAGATCAACTGCCTCTCCTCCCATGGTCGGCGCTTTGGCGAGGGGTTGACAGAGTATCGTTGCTGATCGTCGAAGGGATGTCTTGGGGTTGTCAAATGAGTGATTGTGTTGTGTTTGTGCCTTATATCCAATTTCTCTTGATCCAATTACTTGCCTTGATCCATACATAGCTGACTCGAGTCCACTTCCAGGTCCATTCTCAAATTGCTCAAGCCCACACTCAATTTTATTTGCTATTCCATGTTGACCCATCCCAATTTTCAATTTCCCCAAGGCCCATTTCCTTTCCTCTATCCTTTGGGCTAATTCCATCAACTGAATTAGGCTGTCAGGTTGGGTCAACCTGATTTCAGCCCTAATTTTTGCCCTTAAACCATTCAAAAACGCAGCTACCATAATCTCCTCCTTCTCTTCCGTCAACGGTGCTAAGATAGCTTCAATTTTTTGCTGGTAATCTTCCACCGTGCCCAGTTGCTTGATTCCCGTGAGAGCTTCATACGGGCTTCCTTCCTGTGACCCATTGAAACGATGGAGTACCAACTTGAAGGCCGACCAAGATGTTACCGGAGCTCGGGTCTCCATCCACTGATACCAATTGATGGCATCGTCGTCCATGCACACTGTTATCGCTGTGAGCTTCTCTTGGTCTGAAATTCCGTTAATGACAAAATACCTTTCTGCTCTAAATATCCACCCATAACGATCTTCACCAGAGAAGATGGGTAACTCGAGTTTCTGGCCACCCAGCTCGTTTCGAAAATGTCCACCATTGTTGGAAGTCTCTCCTTCAGTCCGATGACCCATATTTCGACCTTGACCATTTTTCGATGACCTTGGCCTTTGTGGTGAACTTTCTCTTTCTCTACTTCCCATGTCTTCTTCATCCTTTCTCCTCATCCATGTTTGTATTTCAACCATACACCCACGAATGGTTCCTAAGTCAACTCCCAATTTCGTCACCTCTCTTTTCATGTTTTCCAATCTTGATTCCATTCTTGTCCCAACCAGTACCCAGACAACCTGCTCTGATACTAATTGATGGGTACCAATCCCAAGCCAGCCAACCACAACAGAAATAGCAAGCAAACAATCGAATTAAACTCAGAAAGCAACAATAATTAGTAGCCAAAATCCAAAAATACTAGCACTTATATTGATATTCCAGCAACACAAAATACACAACAACAAGAAACTTAACAACACTAGCCAAAACAGGAAATCAAATAAACCATAAACCGAAACAAGAAATAAAAAACAATGTTGGTCTTCGAGGGTCAACTCCTCCCACATAGTGCTGGACTTCGAGGGCCAGCAACCTCTCACTCTCCACTTTTCTCTTTTTTTGAATATTTCATATCCCACTGTCTCCCCATTTATTCTATTCCTTAAAACAGAATTCTTCAATCACCCACTCCCTTAATGCCATCTATCCCTCCCTAAACCATCCTTAACACCTCACACACAAAGAACCTTCCTGGCTATTGCACCAAAATCCCCTACTTCACACCCTTAAGTCTCTTACAATAGACCAGCATTAGGAGTCAGTCTCATCATATATATAGATAGCATGGCCTATCAATAGTGTTGGCTTTGGCCATACTAGGGCTGCTAGAGGTGTGCAAAAAAAACCGTTAACCGAATCGAATATGCTAACCGAACCGATCCCGAATTTTCGGGTACCTGAAAATTCAGGTCGGTTTCGGGTATTTATTATGTGATACCCGAATTTTTGGTTCGGGTATTTATTTTAAGAGAACCGGGTACCCAGTTTATTAAGAAATAAAAAAAATAAAAAACCTATTTTCCTTTAACTTTCAAAGAGCAAGAGGCAAAAGCCCCAAATCTTTAGTATTTAAGTTATTAAATTAAAAGTTGATTTAGTATATGGAAGAAATTGTATTCACAAATTGAAATTTGAAATGTAAAAAATTAAAATTCATGCAAAAATATTCAAATTCGGGTACCCTAAAAACTGGATACCCTTAAAAGCGGTTCGGTTTGCGGGTACTATTTTAGGTTTTTCGGGCAAAACTGGTTCGAGTACCCGGTTTTGCACAGCCCTAACTGGGCTGCGCTGTGCCTGTAGAGGAACTGGGTTGGGTTGTATAGTACTGTGCTTGTGTAAACCAGGCCAGCTTGGTGTAATCTGACTGCTGTAACTGAGCTAGTGTATTAGAATCTCAGATAGAAGACCCATGAATATAAAAGAAAATTAAATTTTTAGATTATACCTGATGTTTTCACTCTCTTGCTCTGTCTTTCTCGATAGTACAACTGGTGAGTTGTCTCACATGGTGCAAGGTTTTTTTTGTTAAAAATGAGAGTTCTTGGTAATTTTAAAAGGGAGTGGGTTATTTATCTACCGGAGTTGCTTGTGATTGGTATGAGTTAATACTCCTAGAAAATACAAGAGTTAAAAATAATAATAATATGAAGATCTTACTAGTTTGGTAATCCATTGATTGTCCTTTTGTTCTGCATATAATGCATGCCAAGTAACGTGCTGTGCATTTGTGTTTTATTGTTTACTGTTCATGACATGCTATTTGCTCATCTGGATTCTTGAACTCTTTCAAATTGTGAGGCACCTATATAACAGTTGTTATACTTACAGTTACAGCAATAACAGTGTGATAGACTATTAATATCATAACACTGTGATAGACTATCAATGCCGTAACAGTGTGATAGACTATCAATGTCACAGCCATGACAATCATTGCTCGCTTTGCAAAACGATATTGCATGTTTTAGCAAAAGGGATTGTCGTGGCTGTCATTTTATTCTTACTTTGATGCTGCACTTTTTTTTTTTAATGATAAAATGCTAAATGAAGTTACTTGTCAATTTTCGATGAAGTTCTGGTTGAATTTCATAGAGTATAGGAATCAGATCTATAAATCTTTAGTATACTTTTCCTCTCTGCCTCTTTCTTTCTTTATATATTTACAGTCTAGATCAACACACCTTGGTTGCCTGAGAGACTGACCAGATAATAGTTACACTTCCAGGTTTAATTCTGATGCTGGTACTTCTAGTATTTTTACAAATTATAGATTTAGGTACACTATTGTGAGTTCACTGTAAACCCTTTTCTTTTATGGTTAATAGTTTTTATCCGCATATTGTGCCTGCCTTTACACTAGATCTTGGTGGCAAAATTGCATTTCGATTTCAAACTTATGAGACAAGTGACTTTTAGACGTTGTGCCAAGTATAGTTCAGTGTAGAAATGTGACAACAAAAGCTCAGTGGTGTTATCAATACATAGAAGATTTTGCTGAAGTATCCTGTGGACAAAGTGTGATTACATTTTAGCTTGAATTTTTTGACTCAAGACTAAGAACTTAAAAATAGTATCTGAACTCTAACTGGCTCCTTCGCGTGAAATGTGTGTGGAGCAAATACAACCATACCTACAATGTCAGAAACAAAAACAAATACAAGTTAGTAAAATTTTATTAACGCAATGGGAGATTTGAACACAAGACACTTGATCAAGCTAACTCTTATATTGTGTTACGTTTGCACAAAGAACCGAAAAGTAAAGTTTGGATGCAAGGTCTCAACAATATTTAAGATCTAACAAGCTTCATGTAGCATTAAAATTTGGGAAAGTTGTATTTATCATTGATGTTCTCAGTATAAGTTCTTTGCTAATAAAATAATTCACATGATTTTGCTGGTAGTGGTGAAGACTTTTTTTTTTTTTTCCTATTCTTTGTTTAATAAGTTCATCTTGATTCTTTTGAGCATAATGATTGAGATACTGACTTGATCGCAACTCTGACTTATTGATTTTTATCTTTGTTTGTAGGTGCTTCAGAAACTCTGAAAAATCGTGGGAGACTGGACGAAACCTCTAAGAAAGGGCTATGCTGGTCTGAGCTAAAGCGTACTGGTATGTCACGGTGGGGAGTTTCTCGACTAGTTACCTTCCAGCGCGAACACTGCAATTCCAAAATGTCACCCAGTATTGTTAAGGAGAATGAAGATCAGAAAGATGTTGGAGAAGCTGTGACAGCTGAATCTTCAGGGTCAGAAAGTCGGAACAGAAAACGCCTGAAACTTGGCCAACTTAGAGAGGCAAGAACTACAAAACGTGAAAAGCTAAGGCCACAGAACAACAGTTCTTCTCGTAAGTCTAAGCATAATAAGCTTGAGAATACCAAGGACCGATGGTCTGCTGATAGGTACGGGTTAATCAGTTTTAACTTTTCTATTAATTGCTCGTCTTTGTGTCATATCATTTAACAATGAAGTTTAAATTTTGAAGGTATAAGCTGGCTGAACAAAGTATGCTAGAGATCTTGAAGGATGAAGGGGCTGTTTTTGAGAATCCAATATCTCGACCAGTGCTTAGAACAGCAGCTCGTAAACGCATTGGTGATACTGGGCTCTTGGACCATCTGCTGAAGCACATTGATGGTAAAGTGGCACCAGGTGGTGCAGAGAGGTTTAGGCGTTGTTACAACACTGAAGGAGTGATGGAGTATTGGTTGGAGAATGCTGACCTAGTTAAGATTAAGCAGGAGGCTGGGGTGCCAGATCCTAACTATGTTCCCCCATCATCTTGGTGGAAGTGTAGTGGTGGCTCTTTTCAGGATTCTGTTTGTGCTGGAGAGTTGAAGTTGCTTAAAGCTGAAATGGAGAAAATGAAGAGGTATGTAGTGAATATTCTTTTTTTTTTTTTGGGAATTGAAATGCTTTCTTTTTAATGGTTATATTGCACCCCCCAGTACTTGTTTTCTGTGATCTTAGGTGGTCTTTCTTTTTCAGGGATATGCAGGAGCTAGTGTGCCATCAGCAAGAGCAAGATCAAGCTAATCTGGTTGAGGTTAATGTTGAACAATAGTTTGTTACACATGATGGCATAATCATTGACCTCCCTTGAGGTTTCTAAATTGTTCACTTGACTGTTAAAGAATTCAAAATTTTGCAGGACCTTCCTCTGATATCTTCGAATTGTTCAGCAATTTCTTTTATAAAGGGCTTTCTTTTTTCTTTTTTTTTTTTTTTTTTTTTTTTTTTTNAATCCTCCTTCTGGCCTGAATTCTCGCCTGACTCCTCGTCTTCAGACCCCTTTGCTGGTTCTTCCCTCTGTTCTTGTGCCGCCGGCGTCTCCTCTACGTGTGGACCACCTTCAATGGTCAGATGATCGACCGGACCAGCCATTGAACTGCTTGCGCCACCGGAATCTAGGATTCGAAGTGGCGTTGGGTTGTCGTCGTCATTGTGAGTGTCATCCATGGTTTTGGATTGAATTTGGTGTGAAAATTTGTAGTTTGGATTGGAAATATGGGCTGTATCGCCGGAAATCGCGCAGATTCCGTTTATAGTTGAAGAAATCGATCTTAGGGTTCAACAAATCGATCGAAAATCGCGACTATATCGCCGAAAATCACGACTGTATTCGGTTTAGGGTTCAAGAAATTGATTTAGGGTGCAAATCAATTGGTGTTGGATCGGAAAAAATCGCGTCTCCCTTTCGTTCAAGAAATCGCGTTTTCAACTGATGAATTTCGATTAAGCGACGTGAATAGAGTGTGGGGCTTGTTTTGTGAAATTTCAAATTTTGAAAACTTTCATTATTTCTGATTCGGCCCACATATGTTTTAATCTTTTCATTTTAACCCATTTTACATGTTTAATTAATCCTAACTATGCCACGTCATCTTCTCTAAATTATAAAATATTTGATGAACAGTTTCAAGGCCATTTTCTTAAATGCATACTTGGGGGGACCGGGCAGCTAAATTTTCTCCAAGCTGAAGAGGTTTGAGATATCATTTCCAATTTATATTGTCTGTTGAATTTTGATTCATTAAAATTTTCCAAGAAATAGCCTGTATGTATATACTAACTATATAATTTTTGCTATAATATCAGATTATTTGAGTTTCTTATTGAAAATTTAATTATTATTGTTGACGTGCGAATATGGGAAGAAAATATGTGAATTATTTTTATTTCTAATTATGCTAAAATATGATTTTCTTTACTTTATTATGAAGATTGTATCATTATTTATAATATTTTATAACCTTACATAGCTTATCATATTTTTGTATAAATAGGATGTGTATTCACTACTCAAATTGAACAACTCAATACAATTAAATCGAATTTCTCTTAGATATCTCTTGGACATACTCCGACCATTTCAGTCGTCTTTCTTGCCCGCTCAATGATATCTCTTGGTCATACTCCACTCACTTCAATTGTCTCTCTTGCCCTCTTAATTCTGACAATTTTATATCATCAATTTCATACAGGTGGTAGCAAGCTAAGGGACAGTTAGCAGACGAGACATGCGAGATACGCTCATGTAATTGGGTTATGAAAATTCCCTAGTCTTGTTGATCTAGATCTAAGGCCTATTTAAGTTGTGATTCTGATACAACTCTTTGGTTTTGAACATAAGATATAGTCACTTTCAATTTTTCAGCCTATATAGTGACTGTTCATGTCATACTACGTCTCTTCCGATTAGTAGCAACAAGAATTTATGAACAAGTCAGCTCAATTATTATTATTATTATTATTTTTTTTTTTGAGAAAGGCACCTTCATTGATTAGAATCTGCAGGGAGGAAGAGTGATGAGTTGGTGTCGTGGAATAACAAGATGAAGGTTACAAAGGAAGCAGCTAGAGGTTTGAGATATCTTCATGAAGATTGCAGAGTGTGTTGCATTATTCATAGAGATTTTAGACCTAATAACATCCTCCTCACCCATGACTTCAGACTAATGTTCAGACTCCATTTTTTCTGCAATTCTCTTGAATTTTGAATAATTAAAATTTTCCAAGAAATACCCTCAATATATATACCAACATAGATCATTATGTATCATCACTATCACAAACAGGTGGGAAATTTCGGTTTGGTAAGGTGGCAGGCAGATGGACAATTAGTATAAGAGACACATATCATAGGCGCATTTGGGTATAGCAATTCCCCCAGTCTTGCTGGTATAGCTCTAGGGCCTATTTAATTTGAGATATGATACAATTCTTTGGTTTTTGAACATAACTGAAGAAATAGACCTTAAGCAAAACATTTTTGGTTGAGAATTTTCAGCAATCATTTACTTGATGATTTACTATCGACTTTATATGACCTTTGTATTTAAGTATTTAGTTCCAAAATATACCCATATTGGACTCATAATGGCAAGACTATCGTAAAATGGCCAGAGCATGGCTTTACGGCAGCTAAGGGAGGTAAAGTTAGTTGGAAATAAGCTTTACGGTCCGAAAAGGCAACGACTCTTTAGAGTAAGAACTTTTAGAGGGCCACTTCACGATTTGGTCCTTTCTACAAGTTAAGTTAAATTGGACTCTAACCCATTAGCTCATATACGTTTCAAAATAGGGCTCACTATATAAACAAGGGTTAAGCCTCTCATTATTTATTCACATACAACCTATAGCTTTAGTGTAGAGGATGCAATGAGTAAAATATCAAAGCATTGTGTATTTTTCATTTTCATGTTCTAACATTTTGTATTTAGCTTTTGTTTCGAAAATTGTGGAGTAATTATTAACCAATTCAGTGTATGTTTGGTGCCCGACATTGTATTATATAGTATTGATAGTATAACATTCTATAATACTATACAAAATATATATACTCAGTAGTGTAATTTTATATATTCCAAGTTTGCATTTACAGTGAGGTAAATTTGATTTCGGATAAAAAAATTGTCATATCAATATCATATTATTTATCTTTCTTCAGTGATTGATGCATGATCATTTTATTTAGATCCTTATATATTCACAACATCATTTGTTTGGTTCATTTTCAGAAAATTGCAATGAAAAGTTAAGGGGAAAACAGAACATGGAATGGTAACGCAAAGAGATTACTAAGAATAAGTTGTTGACTTGTCTTTGTAATTATTTATGTTAATAAAAAATTTGGGATACTAACTAGTTTAGCCAATGTTGGTGAAAATGAAATAAAATAATAATTTTATTATAAAGAGATACAATAATGAATAATGAAGATTGCACGAAAACTAAAAGGCTGAGACATTGATATCTCGCTTTCTTTAAGGAGATTCGAGCCCTCTATGGTTAGCAAAGCTTAAACACTTGGGGTCTGCTTGGGAGTTTTTTTGTTTCCACTGGTTTTGGGGGGTTTTTAATTAGATTGGTTTTGAGGTGTTTAAAAACCATTACTTGTCAGATTTTTTTATGGACTGGTTTTGACTGGTTTAAAACCCCCTAAAACCAGTATAGTGTATTTTTGAGGGGTTTATAAAACACCCCAAATCGGGGTGTTTTGGCTAGTTTAAAAATTTTATCCCAGAAAAATCCCTTTCCACTATTATTCATATACAATAATCCCTCTGCTGGTTTAAAACTTTCTTCAAACCCAATTCAATCTTCAACTTTTAGATGACTCTTACAATGCTTTTGAATCTTTTATCTTAGGCTTTCTAATCCTTTGTTAGAGATATGAAGATTTTTCTTTCTTTCTTCTTCATTTTCCCTTCAACTTTTTGTTCTTTTAATCTGGTAAACTCCTCTGTAGGCTGTATCCAATTTAATTGCATTTCTTTACCAGCTGTTTTACAAAATTAGGTGGTTTTTCCTCTATTTGGTTCTTTCTATTTGCGTTTAGGTGATTAATTGAATCCTTGTTAGTTTGTTAAATAAAGATTGTTTTTGATGGCTTTGCTTCACTGATCGAAGAAAAGAACAAAAAACTGTTTTTTAGAAATGCTGTTGTGGCTGTTATATTGATAATTTGTAAAGTCTAACATTGTGGCAGCATATTTATTCTCTTAAAATGACAGATTTCAAATGATTGTGTGATGAATTAAATAATATACAATGAAAGAACTTACAAATAAATTAAACTTGGAAGGAACTTTGATACTAAATATTGGTAATTGAAAAAAAAAACTCTTAAATACTGGTTGAAGTTGGGGTATTTTTATGGGCATATATGTAAATTTATCATTTTAGAAAACTATCAGAACCGTTGGACAATAAACTCCCAAGCACAGGTTGGGTATTTTAAAAACCATTATTAAAAACCCCTTAAAACCGTTACGGTGGTTTACTTTCAAAACCGATACGATGGTTTACTCTCATAACCGCTACCATAAAACTCCCAAGCAGACCTTTGGTGTAGTAAAGAAACACTTTGACCCGTCCCCTCTTGGATACAATAGCCCAATGGTCTCGTTGTTTGGTTGACAGCAACTCTACACAAATTGCTGAACCCAAGCTCCTTCTAAAGGAAGACCTTTCTCTAGCTGGTATTTTCGCTCAATAGAATGGATGAAGATAGAACAAATGTGTGTGACGAATAAATATAAGAGACCTTTTACATACAACTGTTCACAACTGTTCACATACTCCACCTTTTCATCTTCATAATTGATCATTTCATTCAATTAAAAACACCATAATTAACCACCTGCAATTCAATGACCTAACCTCCATCGTCTTTAATCTTCCAACCCTCCAATAATAATAAATATAAAAGAAAAATGCAAGTTACAACAACTAAATAATTTGATTTGTACTAGAATTTTATTTTATTTTACGACTCTTTAGAGAAAAAATATATTTGTTTCAGATAAATTGATACATGTCTATATTTTTCATTATATGTTTAACATGATGTGTGTTTAACATAGTTTCTTTGTTACATAGTCGCGTTTTATTGGTTGTTAACATCAGTTTTATCGAGTAAATGAAGTAAACAAATGCTTAAGAGTTTTTCTTGGAATTGTAGCAAGCAGAAGCACAAGATCAATTAGCATAAGCATTCCTCTGTTTTCTTCACCAATTTTATACAATTTTGAATTGATGGCACCCTCAAAATTCTAATTTGTGGTACTGATTCAACATCGTGTGTCTATATATATATATATATGAGTAGGATGTTTTGATATAAATTCAATCAGGACCATACATATTCACTATTGGATTTATTACATTAGACTAAAATGATATTTTTTAACCTAGATCCAATGGTTATATATGTATAAGGGTTTTTGATAATTTTAAGGGGTATTTAGTAGTTTTTGAAAATTGTAGGGTCTCTTTAGATTTAATACTTTCTCAAGGGCGAATAAAATGAACCCTTTATTGAATATAATTCTGTTAATTTTATTTTGTAGAAATTAATCACTATCTTTGTTATAATGTTATTTTTAATTTTGGTTGTATAATAGCATTTTGAGTGAGCCTTTTTTTGAGTAAACAAAGATTTATAAATTCAGTATTTTTAAAAATCCATACTTTTAGATAAATAAGAAGCTCTTACTGCTTATAAGAATGTATTAAATAAATATATATTTAAATAAAGAATAATACTTTGCGTACTAACGGATTTTACTAACTAGTGTACTAACCTTTGTTAAAATAACACATAGGATCCGTACTATGCGTATGGTACCCGTACTATACTTCAGTTAGTACACAGATTAGTACCCATCCGTTAGTACCCATAGCATCACTCTTAAATAAAATAAAATTTTACACCAGCTGTCATGATATACCTTCCTAAATATCAAATTCTGAATCCAATTTAGAAAGAAAATGAAACAAAAGACAAAAAACATCAATTTAGAAAGCAAGAAAAACACAAAATATCTGATTTTTGTAAAAAAAGAGACAAAACAAATCTATAGATATTAACAATGAAGAATCCTTTATCACAATCAAGATAGATAATCTACATAGTATTCCTTTTTAACTTTTTCAATAACACCTCCAATTTAAGCCACGATCAAAGAATAATCTCCCATTTTCCTAAAATTCTTTACATAAATTTCATCGCTTGGAAAATTTGTCCCCTAGCCGAAGGGTTTTGCATAAATTTGGAAACCAGGGCTGCTTTTGTCCTGGTTTCTTTTGCTTCCGAAAATTTCCTGCAGTAATTATGGAAAGGGGTTCTGTTTCCAGGGAGAATGGTGTCCTGAAACTGGTGTATCCAGGAGGCTTCGTCGAACTTCACGAGAAACCGATAACGGCTGCAGAGGTCATGAAACGAAACCCTCGACACTGTGTTACCCGGCCGGATGTGTTCAAGTTTCCCTGGGTTGTGGTTAAGCCTGAGTCAGTTTTGAAACCTGGAAGAGTCTTTTACGTTGTTCCGAATCACACACTTCGCCGGTTGATACAAGTGAAAGGAGGGTCTCAAAACAAGGCTTTTCCAGGAGATTCGTCCCCTCGTCTGAAGGTTACTTCTCGGATGGAATCCTGGAATGATGAGAAGAATGCTCGCCAACAAGGCCATGATCGGATGTATACGGAGCAAGACTCAAGTGATATTTCCGGCGAGATAACTAATTTGCATCGGCTTTTGAAGAAGGGAAACCCGGTTGCATCAGAAAACAAAGTGAACACCAGCTATGAAGATTGGAGTGAAGACTTTTCAGGATCAAATTTTCTTGTCGGTCCTGATGAGAAATACATGAATAAATTCTATAAAAAACAATCACTAACATTCGAGTCTGTTTTTGATTTAAAAACAAAGCAAGATAGTGAGGATGATTCTCCGAAGAAACAAAACAAAAATCATCAGCAAAAGAAAGAAAATCGTCAGGTTCATTTATTTCTGGAGGAAAAGTCTTTCTTTCAAGTAAAGTATAACAGCAGAAATGACAAAGTTCATGATTTGTTGCCAAAATATGATTCAACACTAGAGCTCAACTCTTCCCAGCCGATCGCTAAGCTAAAATCATGTTTGAAGAAGCACAATAATATCCCCACACGGCGCGATTTCAGGGTACGATTTGCTCTAGACGAAGATGATCATAAGAAATTGGGATTGGAGTTTCAGAGACTTTCGACAGAATGAAACTCCATAGCTGGTTCAGGAAATTCCTGAAATTCTTGATATTTGAGTTTTTATTTTAATTATCATAGATTTAGCAGATAGAGTTTAGTTATTCAGTGATATTCTAGGAATCAGGATATACTGCTAGTCTACTTCTATAAATTTTATGCATCTGGGATAATAAATATTTATGGTTATTATGCATCTAGGGGTTATGAATATGGATCTTCGTTAATAAATTTTCATCATCTCGCCAAGGTTTCCACCAAAAAAAAAAAAAAAAAAAAAAAATGGTTTGTAGATGTATTACTACTATATATGTAAGCATGATAAGTTGTAGAAGTATACACTATATTGGTCACATGGAATGATGCAAAGTATATATATATTGGTATATGTTTAAAATTTCCACCACGTTTGACGGTTTTGATTAAATTCGATCTATAAGAAAAATATTAAACGTACAAACTCCTTATACAAATTTTTCTATATGAACTGATTTCTCTAAAAGTGGAGAGACCAATAAAATTAAAACATCTACAAGTCTACAACCAATTCATTTTTTTTTTTTTTTTTTTAGGTGGGATTTTGCACATTTAAGTTCAATTAATATTGTACATTTAATATGGTTTAGGAAAATTGTAAAGGAATACATCTTCACAACATTTGTATAATAAAAGATTTAGAAATTCTCAATTACCACATTAACCGACGGTGACAAATGCTAAAAAAATAGAATTTCACATTCTTTTATAAAAAAATGTAACGTTTACAACTTCTTTTCACAAATTTTCTTTCATAATCCCAACGTGATAGTTTACGATTAGTCAGCTAAAAAATAAGTCTCTCCTGTTTATCATGGGTCTCGTTTACTATTTGCGAGTTGATTAATCATGAGCTATCACATCGAGATTGTGAGAAATTTTTTTTGAAAAGAAACTGTGATAGTAGTATTACTCTTCTTTTATTATGCAATAAATTCTGATTAAATTTGTCTTTTAGTAATAGTCGGCAGCAGCAGTTAACCATCAACTGATTAATTGATTTTAATCCACTGTTTTCTTTATTTGCTTACTTGAATTTGAGACTTTTTTTTTAACGGTTGAGATTCATTCATATTAAAATTACTTTATGATACAAAATTCATGAGAGAGAGAGAGAGTGAAAAGAGATAAAATAAGAAACAGTTAGATTTCTATGCTAAAAAAGGATGGATAAAATGGAGGAATTCTACTCCAACAGTGCGCGTCTGTTGTTCAATTATGATTTTTGTTAAGCATTTTGTAAACAGAGCTACAAAACAATGAATTGAACTTTATTTCACTTTAAGGTCAAGTCTGCAAGTTTACACTATTTGAAGTTGCTTTTTAATGCTGTCACAGTAGGATGACACAAACAAAGCTATTTCTTATAGTTGCTAGAATACTTATTAATTATTTTCTTGTAATGGAATTTCTTAAATGTTGTACAAAGCATTGACGGAAACCGCACTAAAAAGAAATATATTAGAAAAAAAATAACAAACCTCTTTTTTTGTTTATTCATGATCTTTGGTAGCCGAATTTGCTGCATCCTTACAGGTTATGGAAGTAAGTGAACTGAAAATCTGCAAGAAGATTATTAGACCCAAATGAAATCTACAGCTAAAAAAAACTTTCCACAAAATTATCTATGCATCTTCATATCTGTAAAACAACAAGGACGTGAAATGTCAATTCCAAATCATACAATTGCCCATAAGTTATAGAATAATAATAATCATATGATTATTAACCCAAGGGAAACTTAAAAACAACAAAAACTTTAAAAGCAAATACAAATTCAATGCAACCTATCTTAACCGGGATTGACAAGCAAAATAGATATAGATATTACCGTTTTGAATTCTCAAAAGTTTGTGGCGAAAAAAAGACCCTGCTCCTTCAGTACATTCAAATTATAAACTCGAGGCTGGACCCTAGCAACTTTGGCCATGGCCTCGTTTTCTTCAGAACTTCCATTCTCAAGGAAAGTTCCCATAATCTTCCAATCTTCGATCCAGTATGCTCCAAACTTATGCAGGGGTGATACATGATCCATTTCTCCAAACATCACCAAGTTGCCATTAAAGAAACCATAGAAATTCCATATAAGATCAAAGGAACGAGAATACAAGTGAGGGAGGTAGTCATATTCATCAATTGTCTTGCCTTTTTCACTTGCCTTGATGGCCTTCACAGCATGCTCAGCTGATTTGCGGGCATGGTCAACTTCTGTAGCCCTGATAAAATTCCCATTGTACAATTTCGAAGGGAAAGTAGTCACAGCTCCCACAGCATAAACATCAGGAACACTTGTCCTGAAAAATGCATTAGTCTTTATTCCTCCCAACTCCTCTTCAAACTGACACTCAAGTAATGATGTAATATATGTAATTTCTATATCAACAATCACAATGTCAGCTTCCAGCACAGTGCCATCATTTAGTTTCACTTCCTTGACCTCTCCACTAGAGTTAGTCGTAAACCCAACTTCACAAGTGCTTGCAAAAAATTTGGCTCCTTTTGATTTATAATAAGAATGATAGGAAGCTGCAATTTCAGAATTGAAAAACCAAACTTCAGGAAAAACCATGCTAACATCAAAATTGTTAATTAGCAAAGCTTCACTAATCTTAAGACCCCAAAGTGTATCTGCAATTATCACAGCCTTCCCGTTTTTCTTTGCCTGAATTGCTTCAACCAACTTATCAGCATCATCAATTTCACTCAAGTAGAAGATATTTTTCGCATCAGCTCCTTGCACATCTGATTCTGTCAACCTGACCGTTGGGCAACCAGTTGCAATTATCAATGTTTGATACCTGAAGACTTCACCAGATGCACTAACAAGAGCCTTGGAACAAAGATCTAGTCGAACAATTTCTGTGCTAAGGATCAATTTTATTCCTTTGTCTGTGTACCACTCAGGAAGTTGCCTTTCTCTTCCACTTCCAACACACACATGGAAATATGGAAGTCTAGCAGGTGTCTCAGGGAGAAGATATTCCTTGCTAAGTATGGGACGTTCATATGGAGCCACGTCTTCTTTCGAGATAACTGCCAGCTCTCCTCGCTTAATACCTTGCTTAACAAATTCCCTAGCTGCATATCCAGCAGCCACGCCACCACCAAGGATCACATACTTGAAGAATTCATCACCAGCGCTGGCAACTCTACGAAAGATAATATCCAAATTAGCATTCAAATAAATGATATTTCTTAATCACAAAAGTTCGAGTTCAAGGTAACATAAGTATATAACTAATTAAGTAGTATGTATGATAAAGTTCTAAAGACACCACTAGTTAACATATTTATTCATTGACCAAAGTGGTCAATTCCAGAAACGAAGGAATAAGCAGTGGAATTAATTAAATAAAAGGAAACTTTTAACAGTAACAAAAGTAATAATACATAAAACTAAGACATTAAATCATCTAGAGACAGCGGATAAATTTATTATCAAAAAGAGAGGTTTTACTTCATTTTTTGAGATTGATTGAGAGAAAGTAACACTAATAATTAGCATATGGTTTTTGAAACATGATAAAATTTTACAAAATCCAAATTTTGAGAAGAGGATTGATCTTTGAAAATAGGGTACTGCACCCCATAAATATGACACATAATCTGTCATACAAAATTTGAGTTACAAACTTCGATACACAACTTCATTCTTTAAAATTACATAGCATAAACAACAGTAATGCATAATCCACAAGTCAACCACAAATTGATATACATCATTTGAGATAAAAAGTCTAATTTTTTAATTTTCAATTTTTTTTTTGAAACAATAGCTTCTTTTAAGGCTTTTTTTACTGATCCTCATGATCTAATTTTTTAAACTGTGGATTGCTTTTGAAGCCTTTTAAGTTCTATCAAATCTTTAACAGGTTATTGCATCATTAATATACAATCCAACAGAATCTCATCACATACGTAGTTATTGAGAAAATAAACCCATCACAATAGAGCAAAAAGAAAATCAATACATTTATTGCAGATTTTTAATAGATGAGGATAAGGATAATGCGATAATATGATGAAGTTTATATATACTTGATGAAATTCTATTAAATGAATGTGCAAAAAATATTGTAGGTCTGTTCCACCAAGACTACTTTTGTTAAATCCTTTACATTTCTAGATTTTTCATATTTTCTAAAAAGGAAGACAAAAACAAAATGAAAAGTATTGCCATTTTTCTTATAAGGAACAATTAGCAATATAAAACTATAAAAATGAAAATAAGGATTTCATGTATAATGCAATACTTCTTTAAAAGTAAAACAATACAATACTGTGTCTTCTATGTTTCTATTATGCAATTCATACTGGGTTAGTGAATATTGTATTCTAGGCTTAATTTTAGTTTTTATGAATATAAAGGTATCAAAAACATAGGTTTTATTTCATTTTCGAGATTGATTGACATAATGAGACAATTTTTTTTGTAATATTTATATTGAATTCGAGTAATACCATCTGATCAAATTTGTATATCAACCTTTAATTATATTTATATTTCTCACCTTTCTTCTTCTTTAGAGGGCAAACCCAGCTCCTCCTTCAGCACATCCAAATTATCAACTCCAGGCTGGACCCTAGCAAATTTGGCAATGGCATCATTTTCCTGAGGAGTCCCATTCATAAGGAAAGCTCCAATAATCTTGCCCTTTTCTATCCAGAACGTTTCAAACTTCTGCTTTCCTGATGCGGGATCATTGTCTCTAACCAGTAATCTCTTTCCAGCATTGCTACCATAGAACTTCCATGAGAGATCAAAAGAACGAGAAAAAATGTATGGGAGGTAGTCATATTCCTCAATTGTTTTGCCTTCCTCGCTTGCCTTGATGGCCTTCACAGCCTGCTCCGCTGATTTGCGGGCATGGTCAACATGCTCAACTCTTCTCATCTCATTATACAATTTCAAAGGAAAAGTAGAAACATCTCCCACAGCATAAACATTAGGAACACTTGTCTGGAAAAACGCATCAGTCTTTATTCCACCCTTCTCCTCTTCAACCTGCCCCTTGAATAATGATGTGAGAGGTCTAGCTTCTACATCAACAAAAACAATATTGGCTTCTAGCACCCTGCCACCCTTTAGTGTCACTTCTTTGACGTCTCCATCAGAGTCAATCGTGAATCCAGCAGCAACTGTTCCCTTAATAATTTTGATTCCTTTATTAGCATAATAAGCCTCATAGAATGTAGCAATACCAGCAGTGAAGAGCCGAGGCCCACACCATGGCTCAAGATAAACCATAGTAACATCCAAATTGTTGATTCTCAAAGCTGCACTAACTTCAAGACCTATGTATCCACCTCCAATTATCACAGCCTTCCTCTTCTTCTTTGCTTTAACCGCTTCAACCAACTTATCAGCATCATCAATTTCTCTCAAGTAGAAGATATTTTTTGCATCAACTCCTTGTACACCAAAATCTGTCAACCTTACCGGTGTGGAACCAGTTGCAATTATCAATGTTTGATACTTGAAGATTTGGCAAGATGCACTAACAAGAGCCTTGGAAGCAAGATCTACTTGAATAATTTCTGTGCTAAGGATCAATTCTATTCCTTTATCTGTGTACCACTCAGGAAGCTGTCTCTCTTCTCCACTTCCAACACACACATGGAAATCTGGAAGTCTGGAAGGTTGGTTAGGTAGAAGATATTCCTTGCTAAGTGTGACACGTTCATATGGAGCCACTGCTTCTTTGGAGATAATTGCAAGCTCTCCTCTCTTAACACCTTGCTTAAAAAATTCTCTAGCTGCATATCCGGCAGCCACCCCGCCGCCAAGGATCACATACTTGAATTCATAATCAGCATCAGCACCTCTACAAAAGATGATATTGGGTATTCAAATAGATGATATTTCTCAATCACAAAAGTTAAAAAGTTCAAGATAACATACATATATAACTAAAGAGAAAATGTTTACTATAACACATTCACTATAATCATCAGTTTGAAAAACAAAGAGATTAAACAAAACAAAACGGACAATACTAGATGTACAAACTCTTTCATACGAACTTATATGTCGTAATGCATATAAAAAGTCAACTCAATAACTGCTTGATAAATATAGATGAATGACATGTCAATGAAAGAGTAGTGACCCATCAGTTTGTACATGTAGCATCACTCAATGAAAACAGGTGTAGGGCAATTTAGTTGGGGATAATGTTTGTGGATATTGTGGCATCGAAAACTTTAGGGTAATCCATTATCGGTTTCTTCCTTTTTTTTTTTTTTTTTTTTTTTTTTTCAATTCTATATTATCTGTAAAAATAGCAAAAGTTTTAAAATATAGAGAAGATAAATAATGATGTTTCATTCTCAGCTTTATTAAATATTTCATATTTATCAAGAGCTATTATAAAATAAATGTTTTCATCATTTTTGATATTGTTTAAAAAAAAAAAAAAAAAAAAAAAAAAAAAAAAAAAAAAAAAAGTAAAAGTGGCAATTTCAAAACTTAGAACAGAAAAATAATATCTCCTAGTTTTATTTTTCATTTTTTAATTTGATATTGTTTCAAAATTTCATATTCGTGTCTAAAATAATGACTCCCTAGCCGTACATCCAGCAACAATGCCACCAGCAAGGATCATGTACTTGATGGCCAAATCACAAATAATCAATTTCAGGATTGAGCTAAGTAGTATAAAACATAAAGGTTCACAATAGAGAGCAAAAGATAAAATATTAATATGCAACTAATGGAAGTTACATGTTGTAGGAATTCTAGATTAGAATATTGACAATTCAGGAGTTATTTAAGTCTTATCTAGCTTAAGAGGTTGGAATGAAAAGAGATAATATTAGTCTAGAGTCCTAATCCTAGTCTAAGAGTTATCTAATTGGGTCCTAGTTCAATTATATAACTAAGAGTTTGTAATACAATAAGAGATACTTGGAACAAAAAATTATCAGGTTTTGTTTTCTCTTGATTTCATGGTATCACAGCCAGATTCCTCTGGCCGGAAAAATTAATAATGGCTAAGACTGCTATGACTGGTAGAAGACAGGAGAGAAGTCTGATTCCTCCAGGTAGTGGGAGTCATGATTGGAGCAGGAGTCCTCCAAGGGATTCGGAATCAGGATCACCCATAGGCAGCAAGGATCAGCTTCCTCTAACTAGTAATAATAATGTGGACTAGAACTCCATTCAAATTAGTGTTCATAAACTGAATGGAAGAAATTATGTACCGAGGTCTCATGCTACGAAATTAATGATAAGAGGGAAAGGAAAGTTGGACTACTTGACTGGCTCCAAAAGAAGATGATCCGGTGTTAGAATTTAAGGTGGGCCTAACTCCTCACCCAATAAGGCCTTGTTGAATGGAAGGATTACTCCCTCTTATAACCCAATAGGCTTGAGCATGTCTAGTCGATGTGGGACTCTAACACTCTCCCTCATGGTCAAGCCCATATGTTGGGTCATTCCTGTTATTGAAGGCAGTTGCTGGCTTTAACTCCTCACCATCTGGTCAAGCGCTTAGCTCAATTGAACCTGGGCTCTAATACCATGTTAGAATTTGAGGTGGGCCTAACTCCTCACCCAATAAGGCCTTGTTGAATGGGAGGATTACCCCCTCTTATAACCCAATAGGCTTGAGCGTGCCTAGTCGATGTGGTACTCCAACACTCCCCCTCACGGTCAAGCCCATATGTTGGGTCATACCTGTTATTGGAGGTAGTTGCTGGCTCTAACTCCTCACTCGCTGGTCAAGCGCTCAGCTCAACTGAACCTGGGCTCTGATATCATGTTAGAATTTGAAATGCCTAACTCCTCACCCAATAAGGCCTTGTTGAATGGAAGGATTATCCCCTCTTATAACCCAATAGGCTTGAGCGTGCCTAGTCGATGTGGGACTCCAACATCCGGCATATGAGAAATGGGATGCCAAAAATAACACTGTTATGGCTTGGTTGATCAACTCGATGGAGGAGATTGGAAGGCTATTCTTATTTCTTCCCATTGCGAAGGACATCTGGGAGATGGCAAAAGAGACATACTCAGACATGGGAAACTCAGCACAGGTTTTTGAGTTAAAAACACGCTTAAGGGAGACCAAACAAGCTGGTATGTCGGTCACTCTATACTAAAGTATTCTAACTCAATTATGACAACAATTGGACATGTTTGTGGAGTCTGATTGGAGTTGTACTCTGGACAACATTAAATATAGAAAGACGTCAGAAAAAAGAAAGAATTTTCGAGTTCTTGGTTGGACTAAATAAGGAGCTTGATGAAGTACGAGGTAGAGTTCTAGGCAAAGATCCTTTACCCTCAATTCGAGAGGTGTTTGCAGAGATCAGAAAGAAAGGAGAGTTGGAGGAAAGTAATGATGGGTGAATCTGCTTCTACTGGTGTGTCAAATCAGTTATCTGGGTAAGAAGGTTCAGCCCTAGAATCTAAGGCTAGAAGAATTCAACAAGAGATCAGAAATTGTGGAGAAAAGGAGAGAAACCATGGTGAGAGTATTGCCGTAAACTGAGGGACATTAACGAGACCTGCTGGAAATTACATGGCAGGCCTACAAGGTTTACAAATTGGAACGCTAATAAGACTGGAGGGAAGGGTTTTATTGCTGAAGTTGAAGGAAATAATACCCAGAAATCATAAGGAAATAAGTCTATACCATTCAATAAAGAACAATTGGAGCATCTGTAGGAACTTCTCAATCAATCCAATCTGGCTGGGTACTCATGTGCTTTTGCTGAAACCAATAATTCCCATATAGCCTTACATGTGGATTTTGAAACAAATAAGCCATGGGTAATAGATTTTGGGGCTTCTGATCATACGTCAAGTAATTCAAATGAATTTACATCTTATACCCCATATTATGAGAATTTGATGTGAAAAAAGCTGATGGGTCAACGAAGAAGGTGGCTGGTAAAGGCACAGTGAAGCTTTCAAGAAATCTGACTTTGAATTTAGTTCACCAGGTGCTAGATTTAACTTGTAACTTATTGTGTATTAGCAAATTGACTAAAGAATTGAATTGTGTAGCTAAGTTTTCCTCTACCCACTGTGAATTTCAGGATTTTCTACCGGGGAGGATGATTAGCAATGCTAGAGCAAGAGGGGGACTCTACTACTTTGATAGAGCAGAATCTGAGAATAACGGTGGAAATAAAGATATAATTTCTAGGTGTAATTCTATCTCTACTTCAACTGATTTGGAAATTATGCAAATGCATCATAGACTAGGACACCTTAGCTTTCCTTATTTACAAAAATTGTACCCATTGTGATTCAGAAATAAAAGTTTATTTTCATTTGAGTGTGAAACTTGTCAACTTGCAAAACACACCAGATCAATTTATCTAGCTCGAAACTATAAGAGTTCTAGGCCTTTTTCAATAATTCATAGTGATATTTGGGGGCATCTAGGGTTACAAATAATGTAAGGTCTAAGTGGTCCATTACGTTTATTGATGATCACACTTGAGTATGTTGGGTATACCTAATGAAAAACAAGTCAGAAGCAAGTCAAATTTTCAAAAACTTTCATTCAATGATTGAAACTCAGTTTTGAGAAAAAATCCAGGTTTTACTAATTGATAACGGTAAGGAATATTTTCACTCTATCCTATGAAACTACCTGTTACATCAAGAGATTATACATTAAAGCTTTTGTGTTGATACCCTACAACAAAATGGGATAGCTAAAAGAAAGACTATGCACCTATTAGGGGTAGTCAGAGTCTTAATGTTTACCATGAACGTACCTAAGTATTTTTGGAGTCATGCAGTTTTAGCAGCCATATATTTGATAAATAGGTTACCTACTAGAATTCTGAATTTCCATGCCCCTCTTGAAACTACGCTAAAGACCTTTTTTAGTTGTAGAACCCTAAATTCTTTACCTTTAAAGGTGTTTGGATGTACTGCTTTTGTACATGTTCCGTCTCCTAATAGAGGAAAGCTAGATCCTAGGGCCATTAAATGTATCTTTCTTGGATATTCTCCCACACAGAAAGGGTATCAGTGCTACAGTCCTATAAAGAAAAAACTATATGTCTCTAGTGATGTTACATTCTTTGAGTCACATACATTCTTTCCCATTCCTCTTTAGGGGGAGAATTTGAGAGATTGTGAAGGTCATTCATGGGAAGTAATGCTACCTTTACCACCCTTGAGTCAGTCTCAGCAGTCTCCTAGTTCAGGTCAAAGTTCCAAGTCACCTGGTTCAGGTCAGGTTCCTATAGTTCAACCTAGTCCTATAAGAATGAGTCAATCTCCTAGTCAGCCTAGAATTCACAGTCCAGAGTCTCATAAAAATTTGGATGATCAGAATAGAAGTTTAAATCCAACACATACATTTACCAATTTAGGTCCTACTCCAACTAAATAGCCTACTCTTGTTGAACCAAAATTTCAGGAAAGACTGGAACGAAGGGGAGGTCTGGAGAGATTGAGTAAGCTGGGTCTCCAACGTTATTCTCGTAGAATTGATTATCAAAGTGGAAGGAAACCTAATGATCTACATGAGCAATCATCCCAAATGAAAGAAACCAACGGTCCACAATCCCAAGGTAAGGAAGAACTATCTTCTGACAAGTCTAAATCAGGGCATGATGATTTATATTTACCTATTGCACTTAGGAAGGGCATTAGATCTTGTATATTGCATCCCTTTGCTAAGGATGTGGCTTATGATAAGTTGGCAGATAATTTTTTGGCATTCACAACTAATCTCTCAGCTGTGATGGTTCCAACAACGATACAGGAGGCATTAGAGGATGAAAAGTGGAGCAAGGTTGTGATAGAGGAGATGGAGGCTCTTGAGAAAAACAAGTCTTGGGAGCTGGTGAGTTTACCTAAAGGGAAAACAACTGTGAGCTGCAAGTGGGTGTTCACTATTAAGTATAGGGCAGACGGAACAGTTGAAAGGCATAAAGGCAAGGCTGGTTGCAAGCGGATTTACACAAACCTATGGAGTAGACTATGAGGAGAACTTTGCTCTTGTGGCTAAGTTGAACACTATCATGGCGCTCTTGTCCCTTGCAGCAAATCTAGACTGGCGTCTACAGCAACTAGATGTGAAAAACGCGTTTTGGAATGGTAAACTTGCAGAATAACTTTACATGGATATGCCACCAGGGTTTGACAGGAATGGGAAGGACGAAAAAGTGTGCAAGTTGAAGAAATCATTATATGGCCTAAAATAGTCTCCACGGGCTTGGTTTGAAAAATTTACAAAGGTTGTTAAGAGGTATGGTTTTACTCCGGGACAAGCTGATCATGCATTATTCTCTAAAACCTATAAAGGTAAGAATATGTTTCTAACTGTTTATGTAGACAATACTATTATTATTGGAGAATTTTGAAGAAATGGAGGCTGTTAAGAAGGTTCTTGCTCGGGACTTTGAATTGAAAGACTTAGGGTAGTTGAAGTATTTTCTTGGTATGGAGACTGCTAGGAGCTAAAAGGGAATTTCAATCTCACGAAGGAAATATGTGTTGGATTTACTAAAGGAGACAGGTATGCTAGGTTGCAAGCCAACCGAGATTCCCATTGAACCAAATCTGAAATTTGAGAAAATGAATGGTGATGCACTGGTTGACAAAGGTAGGTATCAAAGGCTGGTTGGGAAGCTGATATACCTATCTCATACTAGAACTGACATAGCCTTTTCCGATGAGGGTAGTGAGTCAGCATATGCATAACACACAAGAGAAGCATTTTGAGGCTATGAGCAAGATTTTGAAGTACTTTAAAATGACTCCTGGGAAGGAGCTATTTTGCGGTAAAAAGAATGAAAGGAAAATAGAAGCATTCACAGATGCAGACTGAGCTGGTTTTGTGGATGATAGAAGATCGACCTCAGGTTATTACACTTTTGTTTGGGGAAATCTAGTAACTTGGAGAAGAAGCAGAATGTGGTAGCTAAAAGTAGTGTTGAGGCTAAGTTTTGTTCTATGGCTCATGGGATTTGTTGAAATAATGCGGCTAAAAAGATTCTTGGGAGCGCTTGGAATCAAAAGTGAGGAGCCTATGAGGTTATACTATGACAAAAAGGCTACGATTGGGATAGTACACAATCTGCTGCATCATGATGGAACTAATCACATGGAAATAGACCGCCATTTCATCAAGGAGAAGATAGAAGATAAGCTATTGTGTGTTACCTACTAGCCTACAAGTCAATAGACAGTAGATATTCTTACAAAAGGATTGCCTAGACGGTTGTTTGATAATCTGGTTTCCAAGCTGGGAATGATAAATATCTATTCACCAACTTGAGGGGGAGTATAGAAATTCTAGATTAGAATATTGACAATTTAGGAGTTATTTAAGTCTTATCTAGCTTAAGAAGTTGGAATGAAAAGAGAGAATATTAGTCTAGAGTCCTAATCCTAGTCTAGGAGTTATCTACTTGGGTCCTAATTCAATTACATAACTACGACTTTTTAATACAATATGAGATACTTGGACCAAAAGACTAGCAGGTTTTGTTTTCTCCTGATTTCACATCTAAACCCATGGAAAATCACCACATGCTTGATATGACATATATCCCGACATAAGTTAAATGAAAGAAAAAAATATTTGTTAATTAACTTTAAATCAAAGAAAATTTTAATTGACCCTAACACTAGTTTGAAGAATAACAAAATTACAATAAAAGAGAAAACCCATCCAAAGATGGATTTGAAAGAAATGGACCATCAAGATAGAGGTATCAAAAACTGAGACTTTACCTCATTTTTTCTATCACTGAGATGAACAAATAGCTTAGGAATAGAGAAAACAGATTTCTTTTTGGAAGTATATTGAATTTCAGTAATACTATCTTTCCTAAGTTTGTAGCTCGACCTTTTGTACCTTTCCTAAGTTTGTATCTCGACCTTTTGTGTTTCAAGTGATATAGATTAAAACTTAGATGCAAAGAATAGTTCATATACCATTGGAATTTCTAGATCATTAAGTTTCTCACCTGTATACTGCTTTCGATGAACAACCCAACTCCTTTATTACGACATCTAAATTATCAGCAGCAATCTGAAGCCTAGCAACTTCAGCAATCGTCTTATTTTCTTCAATGGTCCCACTCTCAAGGAAAGCTCCAACAATCTTCCCCTCTTTTATCCAGTATGTTCCAAACTTACACACTGAACATGCTGGATTTCTATTTCTGAAGAGCACCGTCTCACCAGCAGTTTCACCATAAAAATGCCACGAGAGATCGAAGACTCGAGAAAACAAGGATGGGATGTAGTCATACTCATCAGTCGTTTTGCCCTTCTCATTTGCCTTGATGACCTTAACAACATGCTCAGCTGATTTGTAGGCATGGTCAACATACTCAACTCTTCTCATCTCATTGTACAATTTCATAGGAAAAGTAGCGACATCTCCCACAGCATACACCTCAGGAACACTTGTCCTAAAAAATGCATCAGTCTTTATTCCATCTTTCTCCTCTTCAACCTGTCCCTTGAATAATGATGTCAGAGGTCTAGCTTCTACATCAACAAAAACAATGCCGGCTTCCAATACTCTGCCATCCTTTAGTTTTACTTCTTTGACATTGCCATTAGAGTCAGCTGTAAATCCAACAGGATCTGTTCCCTTAACAATTTTGATCCCTTTATAAGCATAATAACCCTCATAGAAAGCAGCAATACCAGCAGTGAATAGTCGAGGCTTGCACCATTGTTCAGTATAAACCATAGTAACATCCAAATTGTTGATTCGCAAAGCTGCACTAACCTCAAGACCGATATATCCTCCTCCAACAATCACAACCTTCCTCTTCTTTGCTTTAACCGCTTCAACCAACTTATCAGCATCATCAATTTCTCTCAAGTAGAAGATATTTTTCGCATCAGTTCCTTGTACACCAAAATCTGTCAACCTTACCGGTGTGGAACCAGTTGCAATTATCAATGTTTGATACCTGAAGACTTGGCCATATGCACTAACAAGAGCCCTGGAAGCAAGATCTACTTGAATAATTTCTGTGTTAAGGATCAATTCTATTCCTTTATCTGTGTACCACTCAGGAAGCTGTCTCTCTCCTCCACTTCCAACACACACATGGAAATCTGGAAGTCTGGAAGGTTGGTTAGGGAGAAGATATTCCTTGCTAAGTGTGACACGTTCATATGGAGCCACTGCTTCTTTGGAGATAATTGCAAGCTCTCCTCTCTTAACACCTTGCTTAACAAACTCTCTAGCTGCATATCCAGCAGCCACGCCGCCACCAAGGATCACATACTTGAATTCATATTCAGCATCAGCACCACTACAAAAGATGATATTGGTTTTAGTATTCAAATAGATTATATTTCTCAGTCACAAAAGTTAAAGTTCAAGATAACTGATGAGCCACTTGGGAGGCTGGTCTACAGTAGGAAGGATAGAGGTGAGAAGTAGAGGAAAATTTGTTATGCATGAGTGTTAGGAGTTGCTTTTAGGAGGACAGGTGACTTAATGAGATTGGAAGGATGAAGAATTCGGTTATGAGGAAAAGGTGTCAGGGAATAAAAGCGAGGGGACAGGGAATTGGGGGATATTCAGAAGGAAGGTTAAAGTTTAGAAAGGAGGTGACTGAATCTCGAACTTCAGTCTTTTATCTTTGATTTTGCTGTACAGAGAATTGTTCCATTTTGCTGTTAGGTTGCTGGGTAGATGATAGAACATGATCTTCTGGATGCACTGTTCTGTTTTAATATCAATATAGAGTCTATTTCTTTTTTCTTTCCTGTGCTTATGGATTGTTTGAACTGGTACTGGATAGAGTAGTTTGTGTATTTCTTGGTGGTTAACAAGTCAGTGTTCTATCAATAACATACATATATAACTAAAGAGAAAATGTTTACTATAACACATTCACTGCAACTTTATTAAAATATTACATATTTATCAAGAGCCATTGATAAAATAAACTGTATTCATCATTTTTTGATACTGTTTACCAAAAAAAAGTAAAAGTTGCAATTTCAAAATTTAGAACAGAAAAATAATATCTCCTTGTTTTATTTTTCATTTTTTAATTTGATATTGTTTCAAAAATTCCATATTCGCATCTAAAATAATGACTCCCTAGCTGTACATCTAGCAACAATGCCACTAGCAAGGATCATGTACTTGATGTCCCAATCACAAATCATCAATTTGGGATTGAGCTAAGTAGTATAAAACATAAAGTTTCACAATAGAAAGCAAAATATATAATATGAATATGCAACTAATGCAAGTTACATCTAAACCCATGGAAATTCAACACACGCTTGATTTGACATATATCCGGACATAGGTTAAATGAAAGAAAAAAATATTTGTTAATTCTCTTTAAATCACAGAAAATTTATTCGAACCTAACACTAGTTTGAAGAATAACACAGTTACAATCAAAGAGAAAATCCATCCAAAGATGGATTACAAAGAAATGGATCATCAGGATAGAGGTATCAAAAACAGAGACTTTAATTCATTTTTTGTATCACTGAGATGAACAAATAGCTTGGGAATAGAGACAACAGATTTCTTTTTGGATGCATATTGAATTTCAGTAATATTATCTTTCCTAAGTTTGTATCTCGACCTTTCATGTTTCAAGTGATATAAATTAAAACATAGATGCAAAGAATAGTTCATATACCATTAGAATTTCTAGATTATCACTGATCCACATATAAAGTTTCTCACCTGTATATTGCATTCGAGGAACAACCCAACTCCTTTATTACGGCATCTAAATCATCAGCAGCAACCTGAAGCCTAGCAACTTCAGCAATCGTCTTATTTTCTTCAATGGTCCCACTCTCAAGGAAAGCTCCAACAATCTTCCCCTCTTTTATCCAGTATGCTCCAAACTTACACACTGAACATGCTGGATTTCTGTTTCTGAAGAGCACCGTCTCACCAGCAGTTTCACCATAAAAATGCCACGAGAGATCGAAGATTCGAGAGAACAAGGATGGGATGTAGTCATACTCATCAGTTGTTTTGCCCTTCTCATTTGCCTTGATGACCTTAACAACATGCTCAGCTGATTTGTAGGCATGGTCAACATACTCAACTCTTCTCATCTCATTGTACAATTTCATAGGAAAAGTAGCGACATCTCCCACAGCATACACCTCAGGAACACTTGTCCTAAAAAATGCATCAGTCTTTATTCCATCTTTCTCCTCTTCAACCTGTCCCTTGAATAATGATGTCAGAGGTCTAGCTTCTACATCAACAAAAACAATGCCGGCTTCCAATACTCTGCCATCCTTTAGTTTTACTTCTTTGACATTGCCATTAGAGTCAGCTGTAAATCCAACAGGATCTGTTCCCTTAACAATTTTGATCCCTTTATAAGCATAATAACCCTCATAGAAAGCAGCAATACCAGCAGTGAATAGTCGAGGCTTGCACCATTGTTCAGTATAAACCATAGTAACATCCAAATTGTTGATTCGCAAAGCTGCACTAACCTCAAGACCGATATATCCTCCTCCAACAATCACAACCTTCCTCTTCTTTGCTTTAACCGCTTCAACCAACTTATCAGCATCATCAATTTCTCTCAAGTAGAAGATATTTTTCGCATCAGTTCCTTGTACACCAAAATCTGTCAACCTTACCGGTGTGGAACCAGTTGCAATTATCAATGTTTGATACCTGAAGACTTGGCCATATGCACTAACAAGAGCCCTGGAAGCAAGATCTACTTGAATAATTTCTGTGTTAAGGATCAATTCTATTCCTTTATCTGTGTACCACTCAGGAAGCTGTCTCTCTCCTCCACTTCCAACACACACATGGAAATCTGGAAGTCTGGAAGGTTGGTTAGGGAGAAGATATTCCTTGCTAAGTGTGACACGTTCATATGGAGCCACTACTTCTTTGGAGATAATTGCAAGCTCTCCTCTCTTAACACCTTGCTTAACAAACTCTCTAGCTGCATATCCAGCAGCCACGCCGCCACCAAGGATCACATACTTGAATTCATAATCAGCATCAGCACCACTACAAAAGATGATATTGGTTTAAGTATTCAAATAGATGATATTTCTCAATCACAAAAGTTAAAAGTTTAAGATAACATGCACATATAACTAAAGAGAAAATGTTTACTATAATACATGCACTAAAATCTTCACTTTAAAAAACAAAGAGATTAAAAAAGCAAAACGGAAAATACCATATGTACAAACTCTTTGATACTCACTTATATGTCATAAAGTGAATGAATGAATGCATAAAAATTGTCAACTCAATAACTACTTAATAAATATAGATGAATGAAAAGTCAATGAAAGAGTAGTGACACATCAGTTTGTATATTTAGTTTGTACATGTAGCACCACTCAATTAGAAAAGGTGCAAGGCAATTTAGTTGGGGATAATGTTTGTGGATGCTGTGGCGTAAAAACGTTTGAGGTAATCCATTATCGTTTTTTATTTATTTATTTTTTTACTTTTCGTTCTATATTTTATCTGTAAAAATTGCAAATTTATAAATTTTGTTTAAAAAACGGAAAAAAAAATAAAAATAAATAAATGATTACATATCCGAATAAAAGATTTAAAATATAGAGAACATAAATAATGATGTTTCATTAGCAGCTTTATTAAATATTTCATATTCATCAAGAGCTATTGATAAAATAAACTGTTTTCATCATTTTTTGTTATTGTTTACAAAAAACAGTAACAGTTGCAATTTCAAAATTTAGAACAGAAAAATAATATCTCCTTGTTTTATTTTTCATTTTTCAATTTGTTATTGTTTCAAAAATTCCATATTCGCATCTAAAATAATGACTCCCTAGCTGTACATCCAGCAACAATGCCACCAGCAAGGATCATGTACTTGATGTCCCAGTCACAAATCATCATTTCAGGATTTAGCTTAGTATAAAACATAAAGTTTCACAATAGAGAGCAAAAGATGTAATATCAATATGCAACTAATGCAAGTTACATCTAAACCCATGGAAATTCACCAAAATGCTTGATTTGACATATATCTGGACATAAGTACTAACACTAGTTTGAAAAATAACACAGTTACAACACAGAGAAAATCCATCCACAGAGGCATTACAAAGAAATGGGTCATCAGGATAGAGGTATCAGAAACAGAGGCTTTACCTCATTTTTTGTATCACTGAGATGAATAAATAGCTTAGGAATAGAGATAAAAGATCTATTTTTGTAGGATATCGAATTTCAGGTAATACTATATTTCGTAAGTTTGTATCTTGACCTTTTGTGTTTCAAGTAATATAGATAAAAACTTAGATGCAAAGAATAGTTCATATACCATTGGCATTTTTAGATTATTATTAATCCATATATAAAGTTTCTCACCTGTATATTGCTTTCGAGGAATGACCCAACTCCTTTATTGCAACATCCAAATTATCAACAGCAGGCTGAAGCCTAGCTACTTCGGCAATCTTCTTATTTTCTTCAAGGGTCCCACTCTCAAGGAATGCTCCAACAATCTTCCCCTCTTTTATCCAGTATGTTCCAAACTTACGCAATGAACATGCTAGATTCCAGTTTCTAAATAGCACCGGCTCACCAACAGTTTCACCATAAAAATGCCATGACAGATCGAAGACTCGAGAATAGAAGTATGGGATGTAGTCATACTCATCAATCGTTTTGCCTTTCTCATTTGCCTTGATGACCTTCACAACATGTTCAGCTGATTTGCAGGCATGGTCAACATACTCAACTCTTCTCATCTCATTGTACAATTTCATAGGAAAAGTAGCGACATCTCCCACAGCATACACCTCAGGAACACTTGTCCTAAAAAATGCATCAGTCTTTATTCCATCTTTCTCCTCTTCAACCTGTCCCTTGAATAATGATGTCAGAGGTCTAGTTTCTACATCAACAAAAACAATGTCGGCTTCCAATGCTCTGCCATCCTTTAGTTTTACTTCTTTGACATCGCCATTAGAGTCAGCTGTAAATCCAACAGGGTCTGTTCCCTTAACAAATTTGATCCCTCTATAAGCATAATAACCCTCATAGAAAGCGGCAATACCAGCAGTGAATAGTCGAGGCATGCACCATTGTTCAGGATAAACCATAGTAACATCCAAATTGTTGATTCGCAAAGCTGCACTAACCTCAAGACCGATATATCCTCCTCCAACAATCACAGCCTTCCTCTTCTTCTTTGCTTTAACCGCTTCAACCAACTTATCAGCATCATCAATTTCTCTCAAGTAGAAGATATTTTTCGCATCAGTTCCTTGTACACCAAAATCTGTCAACCTTACCAATGTGGAACCAGTTGCAATTATCAATGTTTGATACCTGAAGATTTGGCCAGATGCACTAACAAGAGCCTTGGAAGCAAGATCTACTTGAATAATTTCTGTGCTAAGGATCAGTTCTATTCCTTTATCTGTGTACCACCCAGGAAGCTGTCTCTCTCCTTTAGTTCCAACACACACATAGAAATCTGGAAGTCTAGCTGGTCGCTCAGGGAGAAGATATTCCTTGCTGAGCATTGGACGTTCATATGGAGCCACTGCTTCTTTTGAGATAATCGCCAGCTCTCCTTGCTTAACACCTTGCTTAACAAACTCCCTCGCTGCATATCCAGCAGAGACGCCACCGCCAAGGATCACATACTTGAATTCATAACCAGGCTTGGCAGATCTACGAAAGATAATACTCGAATGAGCATTCAAATATTTGATATTTCTTAATCGCAAAAGTTCAAGTTAAGTATAACATAAGTATTTAACTAATTAAGGAGTATATATGATAAAGTTCTAAAGACCACTATTTAACATATTTATTCATCGACCAAAGTGATCAATTCTGGAAACAAAGGAATAAGCAGGGAGATTAATTAAGTAAAAGGAAACTTCTAACATTAACAAAAGAAATGATACATAAAACTAAGACATTAAATCATCCAAAGACAGCAGATAAGTTTATTATCAGAAAGACAGGTTTTACTTCATCGGTGAGATTGATTGAGAGAAAGGAACACTAATGATTAGCATATTCTTTTTTCCTTGGTTTTCATTCTATATTTTTATCTGTAAAAATAGCAAACATTTGCAAATTTTGTTTTAAAAAAAAAAAAAAAAAAAAAAAAAAAATTACATATGTGACTAAAAGACTTAAAATATAGAGAACGTAAATAATGATGCTTCATTCTCAGCTTTACTAAAATATTTCATATTTACACAAAATATAAATAAAATAAAATATTTTCATCAGTTTTTGATATTGTTTAGAAGAAACAGTAAAAGTTGCAATTTCAAAATTTAGAACAGACAATATTATCTCCTTTTTTTTATTTTTCATTTGCTAAATTGATATTGTTTCAAAAATTCCATATGCATGTCCAAAATAATGACTCAGTAGCTGTACATCAAGTAGCAATGCCACCATCAAGGACCATCCACTCGATGTCTCAATCACAAATCATCAATTTCAGAATTCAGGTAAGCAGTATACAACATAAAGTTTCACAATAGAGAGCAAAAGATACAATATCAAAATGCACCTAATGCAAGTTACATCTAAACCCATCGAAATTCACCACATGCTTGATTTGAGATATATCCGGACATAAGTTAAAGGAAAGAAATAAATATTTGTCAATTATCTTTAAATCAGATATAAGTTAATCCGAAACTAACACGAGTTTGAAAAATAACACAGTTACAATCAGAGAGAAAATCCATCCAAGGATTGATTACAAAGAAATGAATCATCAGAATAGAGGAATAAAAAACAGAAACTTTACCGCATTTTTTGTATCACTGAGATGAACAAATTGCTTAGGAATAGAGACTACACATTTCAATTTGTATGTATATAGAATTTCCGTACTAATATCTTTCCTAAGTTTGTATCACAAACTTTTGTGTTTCAAGTGATACAGATAAAAACGTAGATGCAAAGAATAGTTCATATACCATTAGCATTTTCAGATCATTACTGATCCATATATATAAGTTTCTCACCTGTATATTGCTTTCGAGGAACTTCCCAACTTATTTATTATGACATCTAACTTATCAACAGCGGGCTGAAGCCTAGCAACTTCGGCAATCGTCTTATTTTCTTCAAGGGTCCCACTCTCAAGGAAAGCTCCAACAATCTTCCCCTCTTTTATCCAGTATGTCCCAAACTTACGCAGTGAACATGCTGGATTCATGTTTCTAAATAGCACCGCCTCACCAACAGTTTCACCATAAAAATGCCATGAGAGATCAAAGACTCGAGAATACAAGTTTGGGATGTAGTCATACTCATCAGTCGTTTTGCCTTTCTCATTTGCCTTGATGACCTTCACAACATGCTCAGCTGATTTGTACGCATGGTCGAGACACTCAACTCTTCTCATCTCATTGTACAATTTCACAGGAAAAGTAGCAACATCTCCCACAGCATACACATCAGGAACACTTGTCCTAAAAAATGCATCAGTCTTGATTCCATCTTTCTCCTCTTCAACCTGTCCCATAAATAATGATGTGAGAGGTCTAGTTCCTACATCGACAAAAACAATGTCGGCTTCCAGCACTCTGCCATCCTTTAGTTTAACTTCTTTGACATCGCCATTAGAGTCAGCTGTAAATCCAACAGGATCTGTTCCCTTAACAGTTTTGATCCCTTTATAAGCATAATAACCCTCATAGAAAGCGGCAATACCAGCGGTGAAGAGTTGAGGCATGCAACATTGTTCAGGACAAACCATAGTAACATCCAAATTGTTTATTCGAAAAGCTGCACTAACCTCAAGACCGATATATCCTCCTCCAACAATCACAGCCTTTCTCTTCTTCTTTGCTTTAACCGCTTCGACCAACTTATCAGCATCATCAATTTCTCTCAAGTAGAAGATATTTTTTGCATCAATTCCTTGTACACCATAATCTGCCAACCTTGCCGGTGAGGAACCAGTTGCAATTATCAATATTTGATACCTGAAGACTTTGCCAGATGCACTAACAAGAGCCTTGGAAGCAAGATCTACTTGAATAATTTCTGTGCTAAGGATCAAGTTTATTCCATTCTCTATGTACCACTCAGGAAGTTGTCTCTCTCCTCCACTTCCAACACACACATGGAAATCTGGAAGTCTGGAAGGTTTGTGAGGGAGAAGATATTCCTTGCTAAGTGTGAAACGTTCATATGGAGCCACCGCTTCTTTTGAGATAATTGTCAGCTCACCGGGCTTTACACCTTGCTTAACAAACTCGCTAGCAGCATATCCAGAAGCTACGCCACCACCGAGGATCACATACTTGAATTCATAATTAGCATCAGCACCTCTACATAAGATGATATTGTTTTTAGCATTCAAATAGATGATATCTCTCAATCACAAAATTTAAAAGTTCCAACATAATATAAATACATAAGTAAAGCGAAAAGGTTTACTATAACACATTCACAAGAATCATCAATTAAAAAACAATGAGACTAAACAAAACAAAACAGATAATACTAGATGAACAAACTCTTTTATACGAACTTATGTGTCATAAAAGTGAATGGATGAATTCGTATAAAACGCCAATTCAATAACTACTTAATAAATATAGATGAATGACATGTCAATGAAAGAGTAGTGACACATCAGTTTGTATATTTAGTTTGTACATGTAGGACCACTGAATGAAAGTAGATGCAGGGCAAACCGGTTGGGAATAATGTTTGTGAATATTGTGGCATCGAAAAGTTTAAGGTGACCCATTATCTTTTTTCTTTGGTTTTCATTCTACATTTAATCTGTAAAAATAGCAAGCATTTGCAAATTTATAGCTTTTTTAAAAAAAAGAAAAAAATAATAATAATTACATATATGACTAAAACATTTAAATTATAGAGAAGATAGATAATGATGTTTCATTCTCAACCTTACTAAAATATTTCATATTTATCACAAGCTATTAATAAAATAAAATGTTATCATCATTTGTTTACCAAAAACAGTAAAAGTTGCAATTTCAAAATTTAGAGCAGAAAATAATATCTCCTTTTATTATTTTTCATTTTCAATTTGATATTTGTCTCAAAATTCCACATGCGTGTCTAAAATAATGGCTCCCTAGGTGTACATCCAGCAGCATTGTCACCAGCAAGGATCATGTACTTGACGTCTCAATCACATAGTATACAACGTAAAGTTTCACAATAGAGAGCAAAAGATATAATGTCAATCTGCAACTAATGCAAGATAAATCTGAACTCATGGGAATTCACCACATGCTTGATTTGAGATATATCCAGACCTAAGTTAAATGAAGAAAAAAATATTTGTTACTTATCCTTAAATCAGAGAAAATTTATTGGAACCTAACACTAGTTTGAAAAATAATGCGGTTACAATCACAGAGAACAGGATGGACGTATCAAAAACAGAGACTTTACCTCATTTTTTGCATCACTGAGATGAACAAATTGCTTAGGAATAGAGACTACACATTTCAATTTGTATGTATATAGAATTTCCGTACTAATATCTTTCCTAAGTTTGTATCACAAACTTTTGTGTTTCAAGTGATACAGATAAAAACGTAGATGCAAAGAATAGTTCATATACCATTAGCATTTTTAGATCATTACTGATCCATATATATAAGTTTCTCACCTGTATATTGCTTTCGAGGAACTTCCCAACTTATTTATTATGACATCTAACTTATCAACAGCGGGCTGAAGCCTAGCAACTTCGGCAATCGTCTTATTTTCTTCAAGGGTCCCACTCTCAAGGAAAGCTCCAACAATCTTCCCCTCTTTTATCCAGTATGTCCCAAACTTACGCAGTGAACATGCTGGATTCATGTTTCTAAATAGCACCGCCTCACCAACAGTTTCACCATAAAAATGCCATGAGAGATCAAAGACTCGAGAATACAAGTTTGGGATGTAGTCATACTCATCAGTCGTTTTGCCTTTCTCATTTGCCTTGATGACCTTCACAACATGCTCAGCTGATTTGTACGCATGGTCGAGACACTCAACTCTTCTCATCTCATTGTACAATTTCACAGGAAAAGTAGCAACATCTCCCACAGCATACACATCAGGAACACTTGTCCTAAAAAATGCATCAGTCTTGATTCCATCTTTCTCCTCTTCAACCTGTCCCATAAATAATGATGTGAGAGGTCTAGTTCCTACATCGACAAAAACAATGTCGGCTTCCAGCACTCTGCCATCCTTTAGTTTAACTTCTTTGACATCGCCATTAGAGTCAGCTGTAAATCCAACAGGATCTGTTCCCTTAACAGTTTTGATCCCTTTATAAGCATAATAACCCTCATAGAAAGCGGCAATACCAGCGGTGAAGAGTTGAGGCATGCAACATTGTTCAGGACAAACCATAGTAACATCCAAATTGTTTATTCGAAAAGCTGCACTAACCTCAAGACCGATATATCCTCCTCCAACAATCACAGCCTTTCTCTTCTTCTTTGCTTTAACCGCTTCGACCAACTTATCAGCATCATCAATTTCTCTCAAGTAGAAGATATTTTTTGCATCAATTCCTTGTACACCATAATCTGCCAACCTTGCCGGTGAGGAACCAGTTGCAATTATCAATATTTGATACCTGAAGACTTTGCCAGATGCACTAACAAGAGCCTTGGAAGCAAGATCTACTTGAATAATTTCTGTGCTAAGGATCAAGTTTATTCCATTCTCTATGTACCACTCAGGAAGTTGTCTCTCTCCTCCACTTCCAACACACACATGGAAATCTGGAAGTCTGGAAGGTTTGTGAGGGAGAAGATATTCCTTGCTAAGTGTGAAACGTTCATATGGAGCCACCGCTTCTTTTGAGATAATTGTCAGCTCACCGGGCTTTACACCTTGCTTAACAAACTCGCTAGCAGCATATCCAGCAGCTACGCCACCACCGAGGATCACGTACTTGAATTGTTTTTCTGCCAATTGTTTGTCCAAATATAGATATCAGAATGGTATTCAATAAAGTTTTTTTGGAGTTGAAAAGCCATTTAAGCCAGCAAAAAAGGGAAAAAAAATCATTTTAACTTTCGATAAATATGTAAGACAGACAGATCATACCAGCATCCTGCATCTCCAGGCTTTCATAATCAGCATTAGCATCAGCATCCTCATAAGCATCTCTAAAAAATATTATCTTGGTTTCAGAGTTTGATTAGAATTTATTTCTCAATCACAAAATATCAAATTGAAGAGTCAAGATAAGTAGCATAAAACACTTGCATAAAACAGTTTCCTAATTGATAATTAAATATCTAAATAAAGAAAATGTCCTTTACAAATTAAATTTCATAAATGCAGTTTCATCAAAAATCTGTATTCAACATACATACAAATTCACCAAATGATCAATTTTGGATATATACCAAAGGAATAACAAAGGGAGACAAAAGAAAACAGTGAATTGCCTTTAAATATTATCAAAAAAATTCATGCATAAAAGAGACATATTGAATTGAAAGAGAAATTGATTATTACAGTAGAGGTTCAAAACTAATATGACATTGTTTTAGAAATTGTTTTAAAGATGTTGAAAATAATAGTAGTTTAAATTCTAATGAAAAATTAAGTGCAGAAAAAGAAAATAAGAGATTGATGCGAACAATTCAAGAATTTAAAGTGATGCTAACTTTTAAACAATACTTAACATACCTGTCCATTGAAGAAATAACGGATTCTGATGAGATTCTTAATCCAACATTCTTCACATATACTTTCTGGAGCTTGGGTGTCACTTGGTTTCCGTAACCAAAAGTCTTCATTTTTGGACATTCACATACAATTAATGTTTCCAAAGCTAAGAACTCAATAGCATTGACCCCTGAGTAGAAACAAGTGAGGCCGTCCAGATTTTCAAGTTCCATGCAATACAAACTACAAAACACAATCTTCGATGTTGATCCACCGTTTTCTCCTTCACTTGTGACCATTTCTTGTATTGTTGAGCAATGTGATAGTTTCAGTTTTCTGAGATTTACTAGAGTTTTGACAATTGACGGATCAAAGAGGTTTTTCAGTTTCTTGCAATAACTTATGGCAATATACGTCAGGTTTCCCAAATTTGGAGAGGTTGTGGCTTGATCATTTGTTCCAAAGATGTCCTCCAAGTTACTACAATAACTTATCTCTATCTTTTCCAAACAACCAAATGTTTGTAGTAGAGCTGGTGAAAATACTTTTACCAACTTCTGGCAATGTTCCAAATTTATTCTCTTCAAGCTATGCAAGCTTACAAATCGAATGTCACCCTTCCAGATATGTGTCATCTTAGGCAGCATGATCAATTCTAGATCCTTCAACGATGAGAACAACTTTGCTTCTCCAGTTACATTCTCAAGCCCTTCAAAATCAAATATATTTAACACTGAATTACAAGCAGATGCTTTGAAAGTTTCAAGATTTTGTAACCTCTGTAACAAATGACTTGGAACAATGGTTACTATCAGATTGCACCATTTCACCTCCAAAAATTTTAATTTACTGAAGGAGTCTGTTGGCAGTGGACCATGACATATTTCAACCAATTTCGGAGTTTTATTGATGCGCAATTCTTCCAAATTGTGGAAAGTTAAGTTCCCGGCCCATTCCGTTGTATTTTGCAGGCTTTCTACCTCACAAGACTTGATAGCAAGAGACTTCAATTCATTCATGCCTTCTTTAGCTAGGTCATGGAAGATTGTATCAAAATTGGGAATTTCACTAAAAAATAAATTCTCACTTCTTTTTAGCAAACTTTTAATCCAATCAAATTTGTCAACAATCTTCATGTGAGAGAGCATCATATTTCTTGCGTACTTATCTGCATCCCAATAATCGTCTTGCACACCTATCTCTAAGATAAAGCTAGATAAGTTTTGGAACGGCATTTTATCAGGTAACAAAATGGGATTTGGCATAAAAATTTGCAAGCTTGATAAATGAGACAAGGCCCTGAGCTCATCAAGCTTAGCGAAAACTTTTCGGGAACCCTGAAAATTCTTGTGCCTAAAACCTTTAATCATGTACAACTCTTCTAATTTATGAAGACAAGATAGGACACCGTGTGATATCAGTGTTAGCTCTCTACACTGTCTCAAGTCTAACAACCTTAGATTACATAATTGGTTAAAGGATGTAGGGATCACTTTGACATTAGAACCAAAAAAACTAAGAATCTCTAGGTTCCTCAGCTCTCCAATTACAGATAAGTCACCCAACTTGCAAAACTTAAGATATAATGTTCTAAGATTTACAAGTAAAGAAAGTGACTTAGGCATCAAAAAAATCCATGTTCGACTCAAGTCTAGAATTTTCAGATCTTTCACTCTTTGAAAGAATTTGTCGGGGACCACCAATTTAGAGTTTTGCTGCAATAGTAAGGATTGCAAGTTTGGACATTCCAACTCCTCAGGTACCTCTCGAATATCATGTGATATCAGGGAGATACTTGTAAAATCTTTAAATGTGTCTCCGCTGGGCCATTCTGTTAGTCTAATGCCATCTTTCACCATGAATGTGTGATTGTATTTAAGTGCTAATGTTAATGCAACAACGTGCACAACATCATGCATTTTTACACTTTCTTCACCACATTCATTGTCATTGATCAAGAGAAAAGATGAGATGAGGGTACTTACTACATTTTGTGTTTTGACTTTGACATCTGCCATTGACGTCATATCTTTGAACCACCGTAGACCCATCCCATAGTGAACTAAATCTTCAACAGGAATTTGGAAATCCTCAGGGAATAAGCTGCAGAATAAGAACATTGATTTTGATTCCTCACATTCTAGACAGTTGTAGCTAAACTCCAGAGCTCTAACTATGCTTTCATTAATCCCTTCAATGTTTGTTGGAGAGGACATTTTAAGTTGCTCTGCTGCATTGCTCCACAAATGCTTGTTCTTATTCTTCAACGCTCTTGCTAAAGTTACAATCGCAATTGGCCAACCATCAGCAACTATCACTTTAGCAAATTGGTTGATATCAGAATCTTCAACATCCAAGCCAACAATGCTCTTGAACAAGTCCCAGGATTCTTGATTTGGTAAGCTTTCAACAGAAAATGTCTTTTGACAAACCATTTCATTACAAACATTTCTGCTTCGTGAGGTGAGTATAATTTTACAACCTCTATGGTTACTCCCAAAAGGAATACCAATCTCATCCAATTCAATTCTTCCCCAAATGTTATCCAATATAACAAGGATTTTATTCTCTTCTTTTATTCTTTTCTTCAGGGAATGTGCTCTTGATGATGTGGCATTGTTATTCAAAATTTTAAAACCTAACATGCGAGCAATATTCCCTTGAATATTCAGAATACTTGGGGTCTTAGTCACAACTGCCATCACTACTGCATCATATAACTTTCTTTCTTTTGCTTGTTTGCCGATTTCTTTGACCATCGTGGTCTTACCCACGCCTCCTATTCCATATATTCCAATTGTGCTGACGTTATCATCCTTCAAGGACCTCACAATTTCCTTCATTATTGATTGTCTTGATTCCAAAGTGTCTGAAAATTCCAAAGATGATCCCTGTAGAAGAGAAGGATGAGACACACCAAATAAAACACAACAAAATTCATTTCATTAAGTTTGACATAAGTTGTATTAAATCTGCGAGTAAACTAAAATTTAACAATACAAATGATTTCAAACTATAGTTTCCAAATATTGTATCAAAAAATTGCAAGTCCTTTTCTTGTTTTGTAGTGTAAAAAAAAAACAAAGAATTGTGTTGGAGCTAACAAAGAGCCAATAGCAACTTTTATACATGCATATAAAAGATACTAACACAGAAAAAAACAAACAAAAAGTGCATTTTGATTTTTAAATTGAAATTTTAAATGAAAGAGAATATAAAAAGAAAATTCTATTACACCTGTTGGTTGATATGAGTATCTCAAAGAAGAACGAGTTGTCTATAAAGTGTTTGATTAAATTCCTAGTCACTCACACCGCAGTGGTATAAATAAATTCTCTAATTTCCCTTCACATTTCAGAAATGATCTAATACCTCCCCTTAAAGCCATTAAGTGACGGTGCGTAAAATTTCGAAGTCTTAAGCCATCCAAAAGGAGCTGCAACCCATGGTGCACTGCCATTGAATCAGTCCCATGCCATGGTGCTGTGCCATATTCACCGCCTCGGTTCATTTCACCTCCGTGAGCAAGAGATGTACGCGACGTCGCAAAGTTAATAAACACCATCTCCTATGAAAACTATGACCGGACACAGCCTGACGCACCGCCTAAAAGCCGAATCGCAAAGTAACTTCTTCGAATTTTTCGGACAAGCGTCAGTGCACCGCCACCAGTTCCACAGTCTCCACGTTTGAATTTGACCACCGATGCTACTGCTGTCGCCTAATGAGCAACCGATCGCTACATATAAGCCTACCAGTAATGGACTGTGGCGAAAAAGGCCAACGAATCATGGTTATCACCGTTCAGATCTACTGAATGGTACCATTTCGTCGTCTGAGGAAATGTCGATCAAGTTCGGCGGTTAACGCAAACGAACAGGTTCCTGAGGGCCAAAATGTAATTGCCATCTTATAAAGGTCATTAGAGGGCAAATATGTAATATTGTGAAGTCCCACATTGCTCCATGTGAAAAGGGGTGTTTGTATTCGGGGTGTTCCGTTTTGGGTACCTTGCACTTTTTTAAGGAACCGGAACCGGAACTAAAACCGACGGTTCCTTGAAATTTGGGACTAGAACTAGAACCAGAACCTACGGTTCCGGTTCTTAGGTACCCAAAACCAGAACCAATAACAACGGTTCTGATTCCGGTTCTGGGTACCTTATAAAATTACAATGACCCTCGAAAAGATTTAAAATGGCAAAAAAACCCTTAAAAACTTACAAATTCCCCCCCACTTGACACTTGTTAACAAAAATAAAATTACAAATTCAAAATTACAAACTCCATTACTTTGTAAAGGTAGATTCTCAAAAGTCAAACCAACTTACTTTAAATGTTATGAAATATAAATATAAATGTATTCAAAATTACAAACTCCATTACTTTGTAAAGGTAGATTCTCAAAAGTCAAACCAACTTACTTTAAATGTTATGAAATATAAATATAAATGTATTCACATTACTTTTTCTACAAAAGTTTTTATTAACCCCCTAATCTTTAATTTTATTTTATATTAGTCTCGGTTCCTGGTTTCGGTTCCGGTTCCTATAGTTAGGAACCGGAACCTCATATAACGGTTCCAAAAATTTGGAACCTGACGATTGGTTCTGGGTAGGAACCGAAACTAAACCCTGGGTACCCGCCGGTTTCAGTTCCAACCAGTTCTTTTAAACACCCCTAGTTTGTATATAGGGGTTTTAGGCCTTAAAGCAACATGATGCGTTTTAGGGGCCAAAAACAAAGTTATGAGGCCTTGTAATGCCAAAACAAACAATATCATGTTGTGTTATTTATAACACGTTATCAGCACGATCGTGATGAGATGTGCTGTGTAGCACCAAAACGGCACGATTGTGATTGAGTGTGTTGTGAAGTCGCCACATCTCTCTGTTTAAGAGGGGGGTACGTGAATATATGGGGTTATAGGTCTTAACCCAACATGACGCGTTTTGGGCTTGAAGCTTAGAAACAAAACCACAAGGCCCTGTAGTTCCAAAACAGATAATAATATGTTGGGCCATTTATAACAAATATTAGATTCTCTAGGAACCTTCGCCACATCTCTCTTGAGAAGAGGGTGTGTGTATATATAGGGTTATAAGCCTTAACCCAACATGATGTGTTTTGGGCCTGAAGCTTAGAAACAAAACCATGAGGCCCTGTACTGTCAAAGTGGACAATGACATGTTGGCCCATTTATAACAAATATTAGATTCTTGTAAACCTTTACCATCAACAAATTGCTCTAAGGAGAGGTATTAGATACTTTATAAAATATGAAGGGAGCTGAGGGAGAGTTTTGCATACTACTGGGTTGTCAGTGATTGAATCTAAAATCTCAAGGGAGATGAGGGATAGCAACCCTATACATCATTAAACGACCTTCACAACATATACATCTTTAAACCATTCCACGTTTTATTAAAACTTTAGAGATTTCTTTTTTTTTTTTTTTCAAATTACACTTATTTTCAAATAAAAACATTGAATAGGAAAAGTAAAACTCCATAACCTATATCTACACTCTAAATTTAATAAACTCGTAAATTAATTTATCTTATATATCCTCATTTTTATATGATAAGTATATATATCTATGTGAATATTAATTGACAGCTGATTGAAATATATTCATGAGAAGTGCCTTTGTATAGTCTTATCACTAATATAATTTTCAAAATGCAAAGATTTTATTTTAGAGACAGATTTAGCCATAAAATTATGTGAGTTAACCTAATTTCCTTAATGAAAAATAATAGGTACAAAAGTAGTCGGAATGTACTAAACTACTAAGTCTACCATGGTTCAGCTTGTTTAATTAGGATGTTAAATTATACTAGTAAACATTAAACTATAAAGCCTAGTATAGTCTAGCATAATCAAACGTGATATGTTTACGTGTCACATCCCATATCACCTAGCAAATGAGGTTGGGATTCGATTTGTAAGGCTTGTTTTGGTTAGGTGGGCCAACATCCTGCCATGGCGGAGGCTAGTAGGCCAAGTCACCTTAAGTCGTGAGCGCAGTGTTGATGGTTTAAGAAATTAGAGTTGCATCTCTACTGCAAGCTATATCTTTTGTCCTGGTGGTAAGCACTTGATTCTAACAAGTAGTATTAGAGCCTCATCATAGGTTTAAGTCCCTTGGAGAGCATAATGCTTGTGGGAAGGTGTTGAGAGGGGATTGCTGGCTAGGTGGCTAGCTCCACATTCTGCCTTGAACCAAGCATATGGGATTGATGGTTTAAAGGAACAAGGTTGCGTCTCTGCTGCAAGCTATAGCTTGTGGCTTCGTACTAAGAGTATTTCCAAAAGACTCTTTATATGACTCAAACTCTTTATTATAAAGAGTTTATTCATAAAAACAAAAGTTCAACTGACTCTTTATTATTTAAATATAAATTAAAGAGTGAGTTTGACTTTCCACATCTAGAGAATTAAATTTCACTCTCTATCCTAATTTTAATTAATAAATTACAAGTTTCTATGTATTTTATTTATTAATTCTCTTTCATATCAAGTCTCTTTTTTGAAAATGCCAAAATGAAGAATCAAAATTTAAAGAGTCACTTGGATTTGAATAAAAATTTTGTTCTTTATACAATAGAACCTCTTTATAGTCATAATGTTGGGACCAATTAAATTTATTACTATAAGGAGGTTATAATTTAATAGAGGTGTAGTTATAAGAATTATTGTTTTGATTTCTTATTTTATAATTCATGTTTTAGTATTATTAGGATTTCAATTCATTGTTTTAGTAATGTTAGGATAGTACAGAAATAGATATCAAAGAGTCACTGTAAAATTGAGTAATCAGATTCGACAATTTCACTACACTAGTCAAATGAATATTAATGTCTTCCTCAATAATCCAAATGAGTAACAAGTCGTGTATGTTTTAACTGAAAGAGAAATCATTACTAGAATTAGACAAGAAAAGGAAGGAGATAATCTTGAGGATGATAGTACGGAAATATAAAAAATTCCATGCCAAAGAGCTCTAAACATGCTTGAGAGCTAGAAATATTATGGCTTCAACAAGGAGGTGTCCATGCTGGCGGCTTATTATGTACCCGCAAGATAAAAGATGTGGTAATAACTCTAAAGTATAAATCATTGTCCTAAACAACTTTAGATAAATATTTTATTTTATCTTAAACCTTTAATATAACATATCATATATTTTTTGCAATATACATATAATTATTACTATGTAGAGGCAAGTTCCTTAAGACGGGACCTAGAAAAATTATAACTTATTACAATGTGAAATTTATTCTTATTTATAACTTGTCTAAGTTGGGACCAGAATTTTTTATGACTACATAGAGGTTATTCCTATACAGAGTATCATTATAGAAAAGTTCTATTGTATTTAGAAATTAATGAAGATGCTTTTTAAAATAAAGAGCACCATTGAAGATGCTCTAAGTGTCTTATCCTAACAGCTTGGGTCCGCATAACTTAGTAGACACGTTTTGGGTGTAGAAGGCTTGTGGGAGGCTTAAAAGCAAACTTGTGCAAGCTTGGTCCAAAATGAACAATTTCTACTTTGTTGGACCCATGATTTGACAAGATATCAGAGCAAGTTCGCTAAACAATATGATTAAGGTGTGACGACCTCATAAGAATGTAAGGTCCATAGAGTACAGAGTTGGTCACATCCCACATCATTTAGCGAAAGAACCTTATGTTCAATTTATAAGGCTTGGGTTCCCATAACTAAGGAGATGTGTTCCTACTTATAACAACTTGGTCCGCATAACCAAGTAGACACGTTTTAGGTGTAGAACGCTTATGCGAAGCTCAAAAGAAAACTTGTATGGGCTAAGGCCCAAAGCGAACAATTTCTACCTAGTTGGACCTAGGGGTGTATACAAACAAAGTCGAGTATCTCATGGCTCAAGCTCGGCTCGCGATGAACAGTAGCAAGCTTGAGTTCAAGCTCAGTCTGACTCGAACTTGAATACTCGTGCTCGAGCTCGAGCTTGCAAGCCAAAAGGGATACTCGAGCTGGTGCTCAATCTCGAGCCTGTTCGAATATCTAATGGAATTTGCAACCAAGAAGAAGAAGCAACGTTATACCACCATTCCAGCCACCAGAAAGAAGATAAAAAACAAAGAATAAAAGACAAAGAAGAAGAGACTGGAGAGAAAAAAAAAAAATGAAAGAAGAGAAAAATGGAAAAAATATAAAAAGAATAGAACAGAATTTGGAGCAAAATGAATAAGAAAGAATGAAAGATGAAGAAGAAGAGATTAGAGAGAAAATAAAAAAGAAAGAATGAAAGAGGAGAAAAAAGAAAAGAAAAAAAAGAAGAGGATCCGGAGAAAAATGAATAAGGAGTGAAAGACGCAGAAGAAGAAACTGGAGAGAAAATAAAAAAAAAAAAGAATGAAAGAGGAGAAAAGAAAAGAAAAAAAAGAAGAAAAGAAAAAGAAATCCAAGTATGTTGTTAGGTTTTTCTATTCTTGAATAACGAAATAGATTTATGATGATTTATTTGTCACTAGATATGTGGAAGAGTGGGAGCAGGTGATTACACGGACGGGTTGGTGGATTGATTTTATAAATGATTACAAGACGATGGACTTGAAGTTTATGGAGAGTGTTTGGTGGGTGTTTGCACATCTTAATGAGAAGAGACTTGTTTATNTTTGAATTTAGAGGGGCAAAAAAGAGAAAGAAGAGATATGGGGAATCGGGGAGAAAAAAAAAATTTATATATTTTGATGGCTCGGCTCGGCTTGGCGAGCAGAGTATTAAGGTGTTTGAACTCGGCTCACCTGTTGAGCTGAGTTGTTCAAACTCAAGCTCGGCTTGACAAAGGTCAAGCTGAGTTTGAACTTTTTTTGAGTCGAGCCTGAGCTGCCTATCAGTGGCTCAGCTCGACTCTCATTCCTAGCTGGACCCATCATTTGACAAGGTATCAAAGCTTACACACTACCCAATAGAATGGGTGTGACAACCTCACAAGAATGTCAGGTACATAAAGTAGAGAGTTTGTGACATCCCACATCACTTACTGAATGAACCTTGGGTTCACATAAATAAGGATAAACGTTTTGGGTGAAGGACAATTGCAAATCGCAAAGTTAAACTTGCGCGGGTCTAAGCCCAAAGCTAATAATATCTTGACAATGGATTAGGGTGTAACAATTGGTATCAAAATCAAAATCAACCAACCGAAAATGTGAGGATAATTTGAAATAAAGCAGAAAGGATGCTAGCGAAGACGTTGGATCTAAAAAGGGTGAATTGTGACATCCCACATCACTTGTGATCTCTTAATCTGTCAAGAAGCATTTTGGGTGAAAGATGTTTTCGTGAAGGCCAAAAGCAAACCCGTTCAAGCCTGGGCCCAAAGTGGACAATATCTTGACAATGGGCCAAGGTGTTAGAATATTATGACATTCCACATCACTTGGAAAAGAGAAGTAAAGGCTAGTTATATACCTTGTAAGTTCCTCAACTGGCGGGAGGCGTTTTAAGTAAAGGACACTTGCATGAAACCCAAAAGCAAACCCGTGGCTTGGGCCGAAAGCGGGCAATATTTATTCTATTTATCATTGACAAGACACATTTATCCCTTACCTGTTTATTTTAGACCAACATTTATCAAGTGACGAATTTGAAAGTAAAAAGATTAATGTGTCGTTCACTGTTTTTGAACCAAAACCATAGACTAAATATAATTAACTCGTAATTAGTGAACCAAAACCACATAGACTAAATGTAATTAACCCCAAATTAGTGAACCAAGACCACATAGATTAAATGTATTTAACCTCTAGTTTTGGTTTGTTCGTGGCCATCAAAGGCCGGCTCAATCTCATTGCAGTTGTAAGAGGTTTCGACAGCTAGTTCGGCTTTATTGCAATTGTCAGATGTCATTTTTATCCTTGGGCAACTGTAGAGAGGTCTTATTTAGCTTCATCGCAACAAGCGTGGCCAAATCTTGCATCATACTGTTGTAAAAGGCCAGATTTGGTAACAAAAATAGTGGGGGAGAAGAAGAATAAGGGAAAATGAGTAAGAAGAAAAGAAGAAAGAGAAAAAAATGGTCATCCCTAGTTTTGGGCTATTTGAAGCCATCAAAGGCCAGTCCAACCTCATCACGGCTATAAGAGGTTTAGATGGCTAGTCCAGCTTCACCGCGGCTGTAAGAGGTCATTTCTAGCCTTTGATAGTTGCGAGGAGGTTGTTTCTAGCCTTGGGCAGTTGCAAGGAGGCCTTGTTCGACCACATCGTAGCCAGAGTGGCTAGATCTTGCATCACCACGACTGGAAGAGGCCATATTTGGTAACATAAATGGTGGGAGAAAAGAAGAAATGGGAAAGGGCAAAAAAAAAAGGGTTAAAAAAAAAAAAAAAATTGAAGAAGAAAGCGAGAACAAGATAAAACAAGGTAAGAGTTTTCTAATGAATACAAAAGGTCAATAATAGCTTTTCTAATGAATACAAAAGGTCGATAATAGCATCACATTAAACTTTGTTTACTGTTGAAACAATAAATTTTAACGAAATCAGGGTTGAGATCCAATTTTTTAAACTAGCAGGGCTTTGGGATTACTGCACCATACCCTTGGGGACTTGCAAACTATTCTTATTTAGACATCATCAATTTAGAAAATAAACACATCATATATGTTAACCAATCAAGTACTAAGTAGAACTAAATTCTATCCAAGTGTTAAACAAATAAATAAGCTACAAGATAAGAAGAGTGATTTTACCTCCTCGCTTTCAGAATCATTGTGGCTAGCCGTGGAACTTGGAAATGATACAGGTGGAGGAGGGGCAAGATGAGACACATTATCGAATTTTCCCTCCTCTTGGAGTTGGAAAATCTTGAAAGCCTTCTTTGTTGCCTCCTTACTCAGTTTGTAACGTGACCTGATATTGAGGCACATCTTTGCTTTGGCTTCATCTTCCAAAACAATTTTAGCTTCTGCAGTAATTTTATCAACTTCTGCAATCCAGTCTCGAACACCAGTTTCAATAATTTCTCCATTTCTTTCAGCAGCTTCAACCTTTCGTTGCAATCTATTTCTGCTAGCTCCGAGTGTCTTAGTTTGCTCTCTTAATTCTTCAATGTTGTCCCTGTAATGGAGCACGTGACGAAGCCGGTGGCGTGCTAGACCCCACAGGCTACCCATTTTCTCGGTGTTTGTAATTAACTGTTGAACGATTGTAGTTGAATAAGGATAATGCGTAGGACTTCAAGCAATGGAGTTGGACAATTTTATGGGTTAATGTGAAGAAAAGGTAGGAGGTTAGCAGGTGCCTTTTTTTCGACTTCTTCCTTTAGAACTGTCTAAATAATGCTGGGCACAAATATTCATGAATAAACAATGAATTAAATTCTAAGAAAGAAATGGGTAAAAATAAAATCAGAAAGCATGTTGTGCTGTACTTTAATTAATATAATCAAAGAGAAAGGTTCCATCCTTAAAGCAATTCATGTATTTCATGAAGCTAGAGAACATAATTTCAGTAAAAGTTACCAAAATTTGGATATAATTTCAAAAAAAAAAAAAAAAAAAAAAGTGAACGATGAGGCTGATGAAAAATAAAATGTAAAAATCTTATATGAAAATTCAAAGAAATTTACATTATCTTCTGAGGTTTATAACAATTAATTACCTTCCCTATAGTTTCCGAAATTGCATTTGGTCCCTTGGTTATACGAATTATCCAATTACCTCCCTTGCTGTAAACTTTTGCTATTAAATCTAACTGTTGACTGAGTTTGATTGTTAAATGACAATATTACCCTTAATTTAAAAAAAAATTCAAAAGAAAACCTAAAAATTTTGAAATTTTTTCTTAAAATAACCAAAAAAATCTTTAAATTATGTAAAATTCATTAAAAAAATTAAAATCATAAAACATTTTTTTGGACTAATTCATAAAAACCTACCAAGTTCAATTTAAAAAAAAAAAATTATATTTTTTTGGGTTTTTTAATTTTTTTTTTTTATGTTTTACATAATTTTATTGAATTTTGCATGTGAAGTTGAATTTTTTTTTTTTGAATTTACGTATTTTTTCTTAAAAATATATTTCAAGTGTTTCAAGTTGATTACCGACTTCTTTAAAAATATGAATTAATTACAGCTTCGGCTCAGAAGATGTTTATAAAAACATGTTTTAGGTGAAACTAGATTATCATGTCATGTATCACTCTTTAAAAATATATTTCAAGTGTTTCTTTAATGACCAAAATAGGTTTTCTTTTTATTTTTTTAAAAAAGTTTTAAAATAGATATAATAAGTTTTTAATTATTTGATAATATATTTGCTAATAGAAAACACTTTTATTATGTAAAAAAATGATCATATTTTTGTTTTTATTATTATTTTGAATGTGATGAGAAAAATGGTCGTTAATCTCACCTAGAAAATATAAAATTTCTTCGATTACATATTATCTTATAACGAGAAAGTATGATAGAGAATTGCATCTTTTTGTGTAATGGTATATAATTGGTATATAACAGTTCACTTTATGATCATTAAGGAGTTAGCTGAATGGTTAGACCTCTGTTTTGTTCCCATATTAATATATGGGGTTTAAGTCTTCTCATGAACACCTACATGTTATGTTACTATAAAAATAGTATTTTGGGGAAGTTACCAAAGTATTAATTCCAGCGATGCAAGAAAACAGATAGAAATATTTATGCAGAAAGCAGGCAGGATCTATCAATTGATTTTTTTTTTTTTTTTTTTTTTTTCACACTACCACTAATTCAATCAAGCAACAAACGAATTTTTATACAAACTATCTTAATTTTTACGCAAAGGGTAATGATCAATGCCTAGCATTTATGAATTAACATAAGATTAACCTTGGATGATTTAATTTCATAAGATGAACTTTGGATGGATAAAAATTAGTCACCAGGTTTATGAATTAATTAATGATCAATGCCTAGCCTTTATCATAATTAAAGTATAGCATAACAACAAGAAATTAAATAATCTATATTAATTTACAGATTATAAAAGTTTGGAACGCATTTAATATTTTTGCCTTTGCTCTCATCTCAAGGCTGCTTTATTAATTCCATCCTAATTAAATTAATGATATGAGCAAGTTTAATAATCTCTTAATTATTTCTTCTCCATTCTCTTCCTAACAACACAGAAGGAATCTTGAAGAGTAACATTTTTATCTAATAATATATTTCCTATAAAAATAAAGGATGAGGCATTGAGGATAGTGAAAAATGCAGAAGTTGTAAACTAAATGTGAAAATCTATGAAAATTCATAGAAAATTACTTTATTTCTGACTAAAGTACGAAATGTTTCATGTTATATGTACTGTTGTGTTTACAACAGAACATAATTTTAGTAAAAGTTACCAAAATTTGGATTAATTTAAAAAAAAAAAAAAATGAGGCTGATGAAAAATAAAATGTAAAATCTTTAATGAAAATTCAATAAATTTACATTATTTTTAATACACTTCCCTGTAGTTTCCGAAATCGCCGTTGGTCCCTGGTTGTGCGAATTATCCAATTACCTCCTTGCCGTAAACTTTTCCCATTAAATCTAACTGTTGGCTATTGATTGTAAATGACAATATAACCTTCCTTTTAAAAAAATTCAAAAGAAAAACCTAAAATTTCTTAAAATACCAAAAAAAAATCTTAAAAGTATGTTAAAATCGTAAAAAAAAAATTAAAATCATAAAATTTTTTGGACAAATTAATCAAAACCTACGAGGTCAATTTAAATTTTTTTTTTAATTTTTTTTTTAGGTTTTAATTGTTTTTATGCTTTACATAATTTTATTCAATTTGCATGTGAAGTTGATTTTTTTTTTTAATTTACATATTTTCTTAATTTCTTAGCAACTCATTTTTAGGGGTAATTTCGTTATGCAAAAAGTCAGTCAAGATTTATATTTAACAGCAAAATCTAAGAGGAGATAGTTGGATATTCACACAACGAAATGACTAATTCATCAATTTCGGAAACCACAGAGATTTTTCAGTAAGGTATGAAATTTGAACCAGCGTACAAACCCACTTCATTTATTTTTTATTTTTATAGCCGTAATCTTTTCGAATTCATTTACCTCTTGCCTTTGCTCTCAACTTAAGGCTATGCTTAATTCCATCTTGAAATAATCTGAGCAAGTTTAATATCTCTTCAAACTTTAGAATCCTATTAAGAATAGTATTTTATATATTATCTATAAAAAGAGTTAAATCCTATAAAACTTATATAAGATAGAGTACAATAAAAGACAAGACCATAGTTAGATACTTTTGTCTGGAGATAAGAATTTGTGTCAGCTACTAACATTTAATATATGATACAATGCAACTTTATTCTCATGTACGAACTGAGCAAGTTACGAATTTTCCTTTACTTTAATTTTAAAAATTATTAACAGCTTTGGCTTTGTTAATTATTTTCGGCCTAATAATTAAGTTTAGGACTGGCAAAGTAGAAAAGATGGGTGCTTTAACAAGGAGAAAGAGAAAGAAGAAAAGTAAATTCTTGTTCTTAGTTTGTTATCGTTGGCTTTTGCAAATAAACAAATAAAGTGCTTGAATTAACATATTACAGATGTTATTAAAATCTGAATTAGTTACAGCTTCGGCTGAGAAGATGTTATGAAAACATGTTTTAGGTGAAAATAGTATCATATATTTCAAGTGTTTCTTAATGACCAAATAGGTTTTCCTTTTTAAAAAAAAAAAAAGTTATAAATAAGTTCTTAATTCTTTCATAAATATTTGCTATTACAAAACACTTATTATGTAAAAAATGATCAGTTTTTTTGTTTTTTTGTTTTTTTTTTTGAATGTGATGAGAAAAATGGCCATTAATCTCATTTAGAAAAAATAAAATTTCTTCACATCCCGTATTATCTTATAATGAGAAGGTATAAAAGAGAATTGCATCTTTTCTGTAATGGTATAAAATTGGTACCAACGAATTCTCTTATAAACCATTAAGGAGTTAGATGAATGGTCGGATCTCTGATTTGTTCTCATATTAACATATATATGGGGTTTAAGTCTTCTCATGAACACCTACATATATGTTACTGTAAAAATAGTATTTCGGGAAATTACCATAATATTAATTCCAGCGATGCAGGAAAAAATATAGAAATATTTATGCAGAAAGCACACAGGATCTATAGACTGATTTTTTTTTCGCACTACCACTAATTCAAACAAGCAACAAACAAATTTTTATACAAACCATCTTAATTTTACACAGAGTAATGATCAATGCCAGCATTTATGAATTAACATAGGATTAACCTTGGATGGACAAAAATTAGTACCAGGTTTATGAATTAATTAAGATCAATGCCTAGCCTTTATCATAAGTAAAGTATAGCATAACAAGAAGAAATAATTAAACAATATTATTAATTACAGATTAGACAAGTTTGGAACGCATTTAATATCTTTGCCCTTGCTCTCAACTCAAGGCTGCTTAATTAATTCCATCTTAATTAAATTAATGATATGAGCAAGTTTAATAATCTCTAATATTATGAATTTGGATGTGAAATTAATTTTTTCTTTTTTAATTTACAATTCTTCTTAATTTATGTAACTAATTTTTATGGGTAATTTTGTTACTGCACAAAGTCAGTCAACAAGTTATATTTAACAGCAAAATCTGAAGGCTGGGGACGTAGTTGTATTATTCGCATAACCAAAGGGACCACTTGGTCAATTTCAGAAACCCAGGGAAGGCAATTGGTTTAAACCCTCATTTTCTTAGTAAAGTATGAAATTTGAACTAGCGTTAAAACACCACTTCAATTTTTTATAGCCGTTTTTTAAATTCATCTTTAAATGATTACATCTTTGCCTTTGCTCTCAACTCAAGGCTTTGCTTAATTCCATCTAAAACGGTCTTAGCAAGTTATTATTCTCTTCAAACTTTAAGATGGAACACAAAAGCAACTTTAAGATTAGATCTATCAAACACTTTCGATTTTTTTTTTAAGTTAATTATTTTTAAGTTGGAAAAAAATTGATTAAACTTAAGTTACATAATCCCATACCAACCTTTATATATATATATATATATGCAATTGTTCTCGGTTAGAATCATGAGATTGTGGAGCCAAATCCAAGTGAAATTAGGATTGAATAGGGACATGAGTTTTC